CTATGTCGTAACGAAACGTGCAACGTTGTAGAATGATGACTTAGGTGTAGGATAAACTGTTTATTGCATGTGATGTTATAACTTCAGGGTGATATTGATTGGTAATGCTTATGGCTACAGTTGTCAAAGCAGGAATGACATGTACGACATTGTGGCAGTTGTTGTAACACATGTTGTCTGATTCAGTAGCACATGGGCATTGAAATCAGCATGTGTTGTTTATTTACGGTAGATTACATGGAGCGAGATTAACGATAATGTAATCATGTGGATTGGGTAGTTATTTCACGCTTGAGCGACCTTGTCTTCGATGATCTTGCAATTGAAGGATTTCTCAGGTCAAATACCCGCCCATGTTGTACAGTGTTCAACCTGGGATCCATGCTATTCTCTGCTCTAGGAATCTAACCTATGGACTGCTAAATATTTTATCTTTAACATTAAGGTCATGACAGCATGCCTCGCCATTAATAAATTGAAACCCAGGCTAAATATATATACATATTTTTTAATGTTTTACAAAGTTTCTAGGTCAAATCTTGAGAGTAAAATAGATGAAACAAATTTGACTCACAACCGTCTTTGTTTTAATGAGCGTTTATGAATAAGGTTTATAATGGTATTCTGTTGGGATAGGTCTACTTTAGCCTTGCTTCAAGGCTGTACTGAATGGTGGGTCCATTGGTGTATAGTAATTCTACCCTTATGATAGGCAAGTCTAGATAAGTGGGCAGTAGGCCAGTCTCTTATAGAACAACTTGTTCTATTTATTTATATAATCAAGAAATTATGATTTAAACTAAAACTTATTGCCTTAGAGACTTGTGCAAGTCTAGGTCTACTTGACTTGCTCTAGTTTCAACCTGCCACTGTTTTCCCTGAAGTATCATAAAGGAGATATCCTATCTCAATAGCAGTGAGTCATCTGTTCATTATCACCACACTGTTATCAGTCTCCAGTCTCTGTTCAGTACTGTAAAACACAATAGGAAACTAACATTTATGATTTTTTGGTCTAGGCACATGTTTGGACAGGAAATATCCAGAAGACATTTGTTTTCATTTACTTTGGGGAAACTACTTTGTAAAATAATTATCTAAAGTTTCCTTAGTAATGGTGAAGGTATTTACATGCCAAATTCCTCCACTTTGGCCTGGGCAAGAATAGGTCCCCAGGAACCTTTACTTGTAAGGGGATTAGATGGATTGGTGGTCGGGCTTGGTGTGGGTATGCTCATAATATCAACCACTGGTTCATCTTGTCCAGACTTTTATTTACAGGCAGGCAAGATATAACTTGAATGTACTGGTGGTGTGATGTTTACAACAAACAAACAAACATGCTAATATTACATTTAGATGAGTAGGGGCGGCACAGGTGGCCCAGTCGTCTAAGGCGCCGTGATTTGTAGTGCAGAGCTGCGTCCCTTGGGCACACCAGAAACCTATGATTGTGGGTTCGAATCCCGGTTTGCCCCGATTATGTTTCTAGGTTTGTCAGCACCATACCTGTGCTCGTGGGTTTCACCGAGTGGTAAACATCTGAGACCTGCATCACTTCGGGCTTTCCTCCCACATCAAGCTGACACGCCGTGATGTAACTGGAATACTGTTAAAAGCGGCGTTAAACCCAACTCACTCACTCACTCACTCACTCACTCACTCACTCACTCACTCTAGATGTGTAGGGTGGCCTAGTGGTTAAGGTGTTCACTTGTCAGGTTAAACACGGTTCAGGTTTTATTTCCCCACTTGAGTACACTGTTTAAAGCTCATTATTGTTGGTGTCTCATTATATTATGTGTAATAACGGTAAAAGCGGTATAAAACTAGTTTCATACCTGCTGGTACGGTGTTAAACAACAAACAAACAAAGAAGGATTGAAGGAGGATAGCCAATACAGCGATACATATAGAAGACTTTCATAGAGATTATAATAAAATACAATAAAATCTGTCGTGTCATTAATTGATACACCATGATTATTTTAAACTGATTTTAAAACTTTAAAGCTGTTACTATGAAAGTTCCAAAGTGTTCTAGCCTCCCAGTGGCCCAGTTGGCGATTCACTGTTGAGAGTTGAGTCTCTTCGGCAAGCCCATAACTGTTATGGGTTTGAATCCCAGATTTATCCTTATTATGGTTTGTCAGCAACATGCCGTGCTGGTGGTTTCCATGAAGTAGTAGACGTCTGAGACATGCATCACTTCATGCTATATTCCAACATCTAGCTGACACCCTGACATACTGTCAAATTGGCATTTAGCCATACTCATTCACTCCTCAAAGTTTTGTGTTTTTGTCCATAGGATGGGTCAGGATAGGTAGGGATGGACCAGGTTATGTATATAGATAGCCAATAACTGACCAATCCCTGTGTCTCATTACATAAGATGATGTGATAACATGTGTTTCACACGCTAGATCATGTGCTGTCAAGGTGTGTACTTCCTGGTACATTAAGCTGACATCATGATAATAAATCAGTAGTTTGAATATGTACATTTTTTCTTTCTTTCTTTCTTTCTTTCTTTCTTTCACTGATATGTTTTTTCACCAATGTTTTCAAATATATGTTATTTTGACAGACTTCTTTGGCAATTGTTGAATTTATGTTCAGAACACATCTTTATTGTAGAGTTTCGTTGTCACAGTTGTTAGTAAGTGAACCTAGAACAACAGAATGCACAACAACCCACCCACTTGTTTTATCTGAACCAAACAATACAGCTATTATGATTTTGCAAATATCTCAGAAAAAAAAGAGTTCTTTCCCCAACAAGCAGACATGTTATTTTGCAGTCTTAAGTATGTCCATGAAGAACGTCAGAGATCATTTATCTTGCACAACTCACACTCAAGGGCATGTGGAGGCCATTAGTTGCAGTGAATTGAGACATGGATTATCTTTCATGGAGAAATGGTTGTCATAATCGTATTTCATGAGTCTGGTGTCTGTCAAAAACATGATGTAGATTCCTACTCTGGTTCAAATGCCTGTGGTCTAAGTGTGAGCATGTTGGCAACATTCCAACATTCACCATCTCCAGAAATAACGTCATATCTTGATTGCTGCTCCATGGAAGGTGTACATCACCAGAGTTGCCATGCTGCTTGTGTTTGTAGTATTTCAGCTTGGCTGAGGTTTAATAATTAATAAGCATGTAAATGATAACAATTTATCAATGATTGGAACGATGTGATGCCTCCTGTGGGCGGTGTGTTTGTAAATTACTTATGAGGCTGTGCATCCCAGGTGACCGACATTGTGTAGTGGCAGTGTCGTCAGCTGGACTATGTCAGCTGTAGTGGCAGTGTAGTGAGCTGGACCATGTCAGCTGTAGTGGCAGTGTCGACAGGTGGACCATGTTAGCTGTAGTGGCAGTGTAGTCAGCTGTAGTGGCAGTGTAGTCAGCTGTAGTGGCAGTGTAGTCAGCTGTAGTGGCAGTGTAGTCAGCTGTAGTGGCAGTGTAGTCAGCTGTAGTGGCAGTGTCGTCAGCTGGACTATGTCAGCTGTAGTGGCAGTGTAGTCAGCTGGACTATGTCAGCTGTAGTGGGGATGTAGTGCGCTGGACTATGTCAGCTGTAGTGGCAGTGTAGTGAGCTGGACCATGTCAGCTGTAGTGGCAGTGTAGTCAGCTGGACTATGTTAGCTGTAGTGGCAGTGTAGTCAGCTGTAGTGGCAGTGTAGTCAGTTGTAGTGGCAGTGTCATCAGCTTGACTATGTCAGCTGTAGTGGCAGTGTAGTCAGCTGGACTATGTTAGCTGTAGTGGCAGTGTAGTCAGCTGTAGTGGCAGTGTAGTCAGCTGTAGTGGCAGTGTAGTCAGCTGTAGTGGCAGTGTAGTCAGCTGTAGTGGCAGTGTCGTCAGCTGGACTATGTCAGCTGTAGTGGCAGTGTAGTGCGCTGGACTATGTCAGCTGTAGTGGGGATGAAGTGTGCTGGACTATGTCAGCTGTAGTGGCCGTGTCGTCAGCTGGACCATGTCAGCTGTAGTGGGGATGTAGTCAGCTGGACTATGTCAGCTGTAGTGGCAGTGTAGTGAGCTGGACTATGTCAGCTGTAGTGGCAGTGTCGCCAGCTGGACTATGTCAGCTGTAGTGGCAGTGTAGTCAGCTGGACTATGTCAGCTGTAGTGGCAGTGTAGTGAGCTGGACTATGTCAGCTGTAGTGGGGATGTAGTGTGCTGGACTATGTCAGCTGTAGTGGCAGTGTAGTGAGCTGGACTATGTCAGCTGTAGTGGGGATGTAGTGTGCTGGACTATGTCAGCTGTAGTGGCAGTGTAGTCAGCTGTAGTGGGGATGTAGTGTGCTGGACTATGTCAGCTGTAGTGGCAGTGTAGTCAGCTGGACCATGTCAGCTGTAGTGGCAGTGTCGCCAGCTGGACTATGTCAGCTGTAGTGGCAGTGTAGTGAGCTGGACTATGTCAGCTGTAGTGGCAGTGTAGTCAGCTTGACTATGTTAGCTGTAGTGGGGGTGAGTTTAGATTTTAGAATTTGTATTGAATTGGAGAGTTGAGATAACTGTATATTGGCCACTGAACCACAGCTTATGCCAGGCTCTGCAACAGTTATTGCTCCAGGTTTTATACCGGGAACTGTACCAGGGCTTATACCAGAAACTGTACCAGGTAACATACCAGGGCTTATACCAGAAACTGTACCAGAAACTGTACCAGATAACATACCAGGGCTTATACCAAAAACTGTACCAGATAACATACCAGGGCTTATACCAGAAACTGTACCAGATAACATACCAGGGCTTATACCAGAAACTGTACCAGATAACATACCAGGGCTAATACCAAAAACTGTACCAGATAACATACCAGGGCTTATACCAAAAACTGTACCAGATAATATACAAGAGCTTGTACCAAGGCTTATACCAAGTACTATACCAGACATTGTCTTTTCCCTCTTATGTTTCTATTGAATTGTAGAAAGAAGAACATTGACTGACATGAATAAAACTTAAATTTATTTGTATTTGCAGCAGCAGCCACGGCAGCGTGATCACCAGCGGCGGCGCACGACGATCGTAACCTACAACCCCGATCACAACCGGTCTATGGAATATGACTCGGGTACGATGTCCGACGTTGATCTGCCCCCTAGCAGTTTCCAGCGGGGAGGCTTCACAAGGTCCAGCCTGCCGATAGTGCGCAGCTCATCCAGTACATTTGACAGACCTATAGGTGAGTCCGGTCCCTCGACATAACTGTGGGGGAGTCTTGTGTTCTGAATGCATTCAACATATCTGTTAGTGCGTCTTGTGTTCTCAATACATTCAACAGATCTATTGGTGAGTCTTGTGTTCTCAATACATTCAACAGATCCATTGAGGGGGAGTCTTTTGTTCTCAATACATTCAACATAACTGTGGAGGGAGTCTTGTGTTCTCAATACATTCAACAGATCTATTGGCAGAGTCTTGTGTTCTCAATACATTCAACATAACTGTGGAGGGAGTCTTTTGGTCTCAATACATTCAACATATCTATGGGGGAGTCTTGTGTTCTCAATACATTCAACAGATCTATTGGGGGAGTCTTGTGTTCTCAATACATTCAACATAACTGTTGAGGGAGTCTTGTTGTTCTCAATACATTCAACATAACTGTGGAGGGAGTCTTTTGTTCTCAATACATTCAACATATCTATGGGGGAGTCTTGTGTTCTCAATACATTCAACAGATCTATTGGGGGAGTCTTGTGTTCTCAATACATTCAACAGATCTTTGGGGGAGTCTTGTGTTCTCAACACATACAACAGATCTTTGAGGGAGTCTTGTGTTCTCAATACATTCAACAGATCTTTGGGGGAGTCTTGTGTTAATTCTCAATACATTCAACATAACTGTGAGTGGGTCTTGTGCTCTCAATACTTTCAACAGATCTTTGGGGCCGGTATTCTCAGTACCTTCGACAGACCTGATACGTATGACTTGTACGTATCGGCAGGACATTCCACACAGTACATGCAGCACACAGAACAGACCCGTATGTACATCTTGAGGTCATGCAGTACTTTCAACAGACCCCCTTCCAAACCCCTTCCAGTACAATGAACAGTGGTAGAAGTACACTCTCTCACTCTGTCAGTCAGGTTCTTCCACACAAGTCCTAGTACCAGACTCTATCAATGGTCCCTTTTCTATTTGCTCAATTTATTAGGCACCTATAGTATTAATATTTTATGCCCATTTTGGTTTAATCAATGAGGCATGACTGCAAATTGCAGAGCTTCGTGTCTGATTACCTGAGTGAGGCCATTTGGTGCTTGTTTTGTGTTTCCGGTCCAATATTACCATCCACTCAAAACTAAAGAAGTATTTTTATATTCACTCATTTACCTACTTGAATATTTACCTCCTGTCCTGGAAAAAGTGTTTTTTTTAAATTCCTAGTTTATTAAATTAATTCATAGTCTTGTGAACCCACCTTTTTGTTAAAATAATTAACAGTTGCACTTCGGACATAGCTCAATAATGATCAAAGTGTGAACTAACCTCAAAGGACCCGTAAAGATTCCGGGGTAGAATAGGTCTTCAGCAACCCATACTTGCCGTAAAAGGCGACTATGCTTGTCTTTAGAGGGGACTAACGGGATCTGGTGGTCAGGCTCGCTGACTTGGTTGATGCATGTCATCGATCCCAATTGCGTGGATCGATGCTCATGATGTCAATCACTCGATTGTCTGGTCCAGACTCGATTATTTTACAGACTGCCATCATATAGCTGGAATATTGCTGAGTGCGGCGTTAAACCAACCAACCAACCAACCAACCAACCAACTAACCTCAAAGATAGGCTTTTTTTATTTTCTTCCAACTGACCAACCAAATGACCAACTGCTCCCTTTGAATCTGAACTGCCTAAGTGGTGTAGTGGATGGGCGTCTGCCCAGAGAGCGGAAGGTCGGTGGTTCCATCCCCGGCCGTGTCATACCAAAAAATGTTAAAAGATGGTACTTGTTGTTACCTGTCTGGCGCTCGGCATTAAGATCTAAAACAAGGACTGGTCGGCTTGGAGTCAGTATACTGTGTCTGAGTGGGGTGTTCATGTTAAACTGCAGCATGGTATCTCAATGGGCTAGCACTATAAATTGGCATCAGTCCAGAGTAGTACAAGCAGACCCACCCACACACACACACACACATGTGCAAGCACGTTGCTGTATAAGTGCAATAATATTTGATGCAACGTTTAACCCCATTTCACTTCACTTGTTACCCTGTGTGGTGCTCGACGTTGACGTGCAAGGACTGGTTGGCTCTGAGTCTCTGAGTAGGGTATCTTTGTTAAACTGTGGCATAGTATCTCAGTGGGCTAGCACTGTACAATAGGCATAATTCAAGATTAGTACAAGCATCCTCACTCACTCACTCACTCACTCACTCACTCACTCACTCACACAATGTTATATGAGAGCAGCAATCTTGAACGCAACGTTAAACCCAGTTTCACCACACACATGCATGTACATTGCTGTTCAAGCACAATAACCTTGAACCCAACTTTGAACCCCTTTTCACCTCACCTCACCTCACCTCACCTCACCTCACCTCACCTCACCTCACCTTTGTAACTCAGTATGGACATGAAAAATGAACAGTATAATATGGATGGTCTTACAGCAGACTCAAAGTAGATGCTGTAAGTGAGTGGGGGAAATAGTACCTCCACACTTCCTGACAACCTCCGTAGGCACAAAAACACCTAGTCTCTGTGTTCAATAATTCCTCAATTCTTTATGGGCATATTGATCGTGTGAGTCTACGTACGTGCTGTCTATTGGAGACACTGTCAATCTGTTCCTGCAATCACAGTGGTGTGAGGATTGGCTTCTCAAAATCCAATTAAACTTGTGTTGTTGATGGTCAAATGAAGAGCAGTTTACTGAGTTTGCGAATTGGCTGATATGGGATGGGGTGAGAGGCGATATAGGCTCACTGTTGTTATTCCTGCTGTTTTCCTATGGGACGTCTCATTTGTAAGTGGTGATGTATATTTCATGTTTTACGTCCATCTGCTGTTGTATATTTCATGTTTTACATACATGAGCTGTTCTCTAAATTTTATCTGCATATACATTTGTATGTGTAGTGTGTGATATATTTATCCCCCCAGCATATAATGCCGGGGGATATAGTCATCATCTGGTTTGTCCGTCCATATTTCGTTACTGGAGCATAACATGAAAACTGTGAAAGATTTTTCATCCAAACTTGGTGGTGAAGTGAAGTGGTGCCTTTTGCTATTGTGGGGGCTGGGGAGATTTGTCATCTTCTGACAGATGATTTTTGGTTTCATTTGAATACATGACATCTTTTGTTTAAGGCTTACATGGACATGGTGTTTTAGAGACATATTGTGGTATATGTGTCATTCAGGAATTTGTAAATTGTCTTGTTTATTTCAGGGTTGGTGTTTCTAATATTCCGCGATGAGACCAAGAAAGCCTTGCTGCCCAATGAGATCACCAGCCTGGACACTGTCCGAGCCCTGTTTGTCAGGTCATTCCCAGAGAAGCTGTCTATGGAATTTCTCGACTCACCGAAGAGAAAGATTTATGTTCTAGAACCCAAGTCCAATATATACTTCCAGTTAGAAGATCTCAGGTAGGAACAATCACCATTGTAGTAGGTCTCAGGTAGGAACAATCTCCATTGTATTAGGTCTCAGGTAGGAACAATCACCATTGTATTAGGTCTCGTGAAGGCACAATCACCATTGTAGTAGGTCTCAGGTAGGAACAATCACCATTGTATTAGGTCTCAGGTAGTAACTGTCCCTATTGTATTAGGTCTCAGGTAGTAACTATCTCTATTGTATTAGGTCTCAGGTAGTAACTATCTCTATTGTATTAGGTCTCAGGTAGTAACTATTTCTATTGTATTAGGTCTCAGGTAGTAACTATCTCTATTGTATTAGGTCTCAGGTAGTAACTATCTCTATTGTATTAGATCTCAGGTAGTAACTATCTCTATTGTATTAGGTCTCAGGTAGGAACTATCTCTATTGTATTAGATCTCAGGTAGGAACAATCTCCTTCGTGTCACAAATCTAAGCTTTCTGCTCTGCATCGTTCCCCAGAGACATCAAGGACCGGTCGCTACTGAAGATCCATGAGTGTGAGAGTATTGAGCCCCAGAGAGTGAAGGAGTATCCCCCAGCGCTACGTGGTCGTTCTGTTCAGGCCAAGTCTCAACAAGCTCCCCCTAAACCTGCCCGCGACCTTGATGCTGTGGTTCGAGAAGAGGTAGAACTGCTGTTTCTTATTTCTTCAGATTAATACAACCACAATTACCACCTGGACACAAATACAGTTGCTTTGTTGGATCAGACAGTTGTTGCATTTCTAATAGTATAGGGATTCACAGAAATGTGTTTTATCGGACGTCATTGTCTACCCTTTGTATATATTTTCTTTCAACATCTTTGATGTCATATATATAAATACATCACAGTAAGTCCAACTTGTTCCAGTAGAACAATTTTACTGCAGAAATTCTGTGAAATATCAAACATATCACATTGCGAATGTATGGGAATGTGTGCTGCAATCTGAGTGGTGGAAAAAATACATTGTTAAATTGGATCAGAAGAGCAGAAATCTTTTGGACTTTTTTCGGCGTATGAAATCTTTTCTTGATAAGTATCTTTTTTTCTCAATATCAACTTTTTAAAATGTCATTTGGCTTGGCGAAATGGAAATTTCAGACTGATGTTATCAGATTCCAGGGTGATGTCATCACATTCCAGACCGATGTCATTACTTTCAAGACCGATTTATTACTTTCCAGACCGATGTCATCACATTCCAGGGTGATCTCATCACATTCCAGACTGAAATCATTACCCTCCAGAGTAATGTCGTCACATTCCATATCGATGTCATCACATTCCAGTGTGACGTCATCACATTCCAGACTGATGTCATTACTTTCCACACCGATGTCATCACATTCTAGATCTATGTCATCACATTCAAATGTGACATCATCACATGCCAGTGTGACATCATCTCATTCCAGGGTGATATCATCACATTCCAGAGTAATGTCATCACATTCCACACCGATGTCATCACATTCCAGTGTGACGTCATCACATTCCAGACTGATGTCAACACATTCCAGACTGACGTCATCACATTCCAGGGTGACGTCATCACATTCCAGGGTGACGTCATCACATTCCAGACTGATGTCATTACTTTCCAGAGTAATGTCATCACATTCCAGACTGATGTCATCACATTCCAGGGTGACGTCATCACATTCCAGGGTGACGTCATCACATTCCAGACTGATGTCAACACATTCCAGTGTGACATAATCACATTCCAGTGTGACATCATCACATGCCAGTGTGACATAATCACATGCCAGTGTGTCATCATCACATGCCAGTGTGACATGATCTCATTCCAGGGTGATTCCAGATATTTTACCATATGTAACCTCTGGCTAATGATGTCACTTCTAAATATACTCAATACAACATCGAATCGGAAAACACAAAACATATATGTCCTAATTCACTTGGGCTACATTAGGTTCAATCAAGTTCACACACATCGCCGTGATGTCACCAGCAGTGGCGCATTGCAATGACTGAGTGTCTGTTTGTTTAGCTTTTAGTTGAGTATGTTAAGTGATCATACAAAAATCTTTTATAGAGTTGGTGTGTAGACATACTTCTTCATCAGAAAATGCTGTAGTCATATAAATGTTTGACAACGATACAAATCTCACACTTTCCTTGTTACATATTTCAGTATGCGAAGACGCGTAGTTTACCCGCACAGTTAACCAACCACTACCAAGAAATCATTGATGACCAGCGTATGTGGGAAGTTGAAAGAAGGTCAAGGTCACATACACCAGAAGTAGATCGGCCAAGGTCATTATCGGTAGGACCAGCCAGAACACGTGCCTCCCCGGAAAGATTGCCGACGCCCGAGAGGGCTATGCTAAGAACTATTCCAGAACATCAACAGATGAGAAATGGATACCCTCCATCAGTGAACGGTGGCAGTAACGGGAATTACGAAACGTTGCCTGCATATCAGAGAGATTTACGTGGTCAGGCGGCTTCTCCAACCGGCCCCCCACCTCACCGCCCCTTCTCACCCCCCGGGACCTCATCCCACTACGAGCCAGTGTACGGATACCACCAGCAGCCCGGGGCACCCCAGCCCCCTCAGACCTACGTCGCGCACAGTGTCCGCGCCCACACTGTCCACGCCCCTCAGAGAGCTACCGTCCCTCCAGTGGAACTACGTAAGTATAATTGTTGCTGTTCACTCTGAAGCTCTAGGATGTCAGGCTTCTTGTCCAGATGTGTCAGACTAGGTCCCCTGTACCCCATGCTTGTCTCCCTGTGGGGATTCCAGGACAGAATAGGTCCCCTGTACCCCATGCTTGTCTCCCTGTGGGGATTCAAGGACAGAATAAGTCCCCTGTACCCCATGCTTGTCTCCCTGTGGGGATTCCAGGACAGAATAGGTACCCTGTACCCCATGCTTGTCTCCCTGTGGGGATTCCAGGACAGAATAGGTACCCTGTACCCCATGCTTGTCTCCCTGTGGGGATTCCAGGACAGAATAGGTCCCCTGGATAATTGTACATTTAATTTACATTCTCCACTCCCTTTGGAGTATTGAGTAATCTCAGGGATCAGGTTCATCAGCTAGAGAACTACTTTTTCTTCCAGGAAACGGAACAAGAAACAATAACCAAAACAGACACTCTCTCACTTTCGCACCAATGTCAGGAGCTCAAGGTCAAGGTCAGGGTCAAGTTCCAAACCAGGAGCCGCCCTACCAGAGGTCGCAGAGTTACCGCGTGACCCCCGAGAGAGACACTGTGGTCCCGAGAGCACGAAGCCTCACCCCCCAACCGTCCGACTCAGACACCAAGTACAACGAACCAATGTTTGTGCCTCTGCTTGTCTTCTAGCTTGCTTCTATCTCCTCATTAACATATGTCTCCAAAATCTTGAGTGGTTTTGATCACAAATTAAGAGTTCGGGAATTAATAAGAACTATTTTTAGTAGAAGTTGCTTTAAGACCTTGAGAATGACTGAGAGAAATAGTATATAATCAACATTCATTGCTTTTTATGACGTGCAGTGTAGAGAGCATTGGTATTCTTTGTGGGCTAAACACTATGATCTAGTTGATAGAGCATGTCTGGAGAGTGGAATGTGGTCGTTCATTCCCTGGCCGTGTCATACCAAAATATATCAAAGATATATTTGTTGTTGCCCTGCCTGGTGCTTTGTATTAAAGGAATAAAACAGGTTGGCTCAGAGTCGGTATACTGTGTCTGAGTGGGGTATCCATTTCAAACTGCAGCATAGTACCTCAGTGGGCTAGCACTATGAAACCAGACTAGTACAGGCAGCCACACACTACAGCACATCGCTATATAGATGAAATAGTCCTGAACATGACATTAAGCCCTATTTCCCCTCGCCTCACCTACTGGGCTCAGATGCCTTATTTATTGAGCTCCAAATTACAGTAAACTATGGTTATAACGAACTCAAAGGGACCACTAATTTTAATTTGTTATAACCATAGTTCATTATGTACATATGTACAACATATAGACATATATACATATATACATATATACACAAGATGGACTGGACCAAGAAACAGTTCGTTATATCCGGCAGTTCGCTATTAGCATGTTCGTTTAAAACATAGTTTACTGTAAGTGTTAAAAATGGGGAAAAAAGCCTCTCACCATTCCAGGCCTTTTTATTTTTCATTAGTTGGTTTATATGTAACATGAATTAATTTCTCATGACACTCTTATTTTGGCAATGCCACCAAATGCTACTCAAATGTAAATGTAAATAAACAATTATCAGAAACGTTCAAATTAATTGATATATATCTGACATAACAACTTAACACAATGTTATGTATTCAAAATATTCATAATTTTATGGTAATATTTGCCATAAATTTGCCAAAATAATTTGCAAGCATTATGCCATGATATGATTTGTGAGGTATTCCCTATGTAAATATATTTTGGTACAGTTTCTTCTCAATGAGACAATTGATATTGAAGTAAAACATTTGTAAACCAACTAATGACATAAAGAGAATATCTCCCTTGTGTCTTTTGATATGAAATATATCAACACGAGTTGATAAAAGTGAAAAGATTCTGAGGCTTGCCGAGGAGTTTTTCCACTTTTATCAACTTGTGTTGATATTTTTCATATCAAAAGACACGAGGATGAGATTATATTTATCATCCAACATCATTCTTCCAACTTTTTCAGTTTGAATACAGTAATAAGCAGCGTCTTAAGTGTAAAAAGTACTGCTAACAGCTTCAGTAGCAGAGCCATTAGTGATGTCATTTGATTGTGACGTCATGGTAACAATGATGTCACAATGGTCTGCAAAGCATTGTGATGCAATTTCATTGCAGCGATATCTACAATGTAGATATCGCTTGATCTCACCCAAGGATATCTCCTGTGGGAGCCAGTTTTGGAAGTGAAAGCTTCATGATTCAAGCTTAAACTGTGACAAAACCATTCAAGATGGAGCAAATTTGTTGGTTGAGATTTGTCATTTAATTTCCATTTTGTGATTTATCTAATAATTTTACATTGGTTATTAAGTCATATCCACAAAATGAACTGAAATTCAAAAACCAATCTACCGTATTCGACGTAATAAGCGCCCCGCTCTAATAAGAGCCCACGGCAATATTTGTTAATTTATTGGCTAGTGAACAATCCCAATTAGCACCCCTTCCGATTGATCAATGTACACAAGACTTATTTATTCGTGTATAATACGCACTCGTGTGTTATATGCACCCTTAATTATGGGCAATTAAACTCTGGAAAAAATATATCTGTCGTATATAAACATTTCAGGCTGTCAGCATAAACCACGAAATTTATCCGCAACTCTGTTTCTTTCCACCAAAATACCATTCTAGTAAGAGCCCCCTATTTCTAATTTTGAAAGCACCCTGGGCGTTTATTACATCGAATACGGTATTGCATATCTGTGAAAGAAATCATAAACTTGTATGAAATAGAGTTTTGAACATTTTGAATCTGTTCTATTCCCGAAGGTCCTCATTAAGATACAGGTGATTTTTCTTTTTCTTCCCCTGGTGGCGGGAATGTGCGCCTGCTTGCTTGGTAGCAGATGCATTTCACAAAGCTTGCAATCAATATATCTATGCTAGAGGTTCAGTAACATGCACATGCTCAGACCGATCTCTAAACCTAAACTAACTATCTGTGAGCACTGTTCAGTTCGTCGTAGCAGGCTTCTCTGCAATGAGTCTGTTCTGCAGAGGTACATGCCAGCACTATAGTGGAACACTAAGAAGTCTTTTCTGATGTAACTTCTTAATCTTATTGGTAATTCTAATAACATTGGCCTTCTTATAATATTCGACCTGTAAAGATCCGGGGTAGAACAGGTCTTCAGCAACCCATGCTGGACATAAAAGGTGACTATGCTTGTCGTATGAGGCGACCAACAGGATAGGGTGGTCAGGCTAAGTGCCTTTTTTTATGCATGTCATTGATCCCAATTGTGTGGTTGGATGCTCATGATGTCAATCACTGGATTGTCTGGTCCAGACTCGATTATTTACAGACTGCCGTCATATAGCTGGAATATTGCTGAGTGGGGGCGTTAAACCACAAACAAACAAATCTTATAACATTGAACCTCATTTTATTAGTCAAAGTTACAATCTAACATTTAGTGCACAGTATCTTAACACTACGATCAACTGTGACATTTTTGCAGTTTTAAATATTGGATTTTTATAAGACCATATATTGCTGGATATAGGAATTGTAATGTTTGTTTGTGAGTACATTCTGTGCTTGTTGCCACATTGTGACAGAAGTTGTTAATCCTCTCCCCCCATCCTCCAAGCAATAAGTGTCTTAATTTGCCCCCAGAAACAAGTAGTGTTTTAATTAGCCTCAACCAACATGCAGTGTCTTAATTTTTCCCAGCAATGAGCAGTTTCTTAATTTGTCCCCAGCAACAAGCAGTGTCCTAATGCGCCCCCATTAACAAGCAGTGTCGTAATTTGTCTCAACCAACAAGCAGTGTTGTACTTTTTCCCTAGGAAACAAACAGTGTCTAAGTTTCCCCCTTAACCAACTAGCAGTTAAAATCTTCCCACCAGCAGCAAGCAGTGTCCTAATTTCCCCTCCAGTAAAAAGAAGTGTCTTAATCTCCCCCTTTCAACAAACAGGGTGTTAATTTTCCCCAAGGAACAGGCAATGTGTTAATTTTCTCATAGAAACAAGCAGTGTCCTAATTTGCCTGAAGCAACATACAGCATCTTAATTTTCCCCCAAGAAACAATGTGTTTTAATTTTCCCAAAGAAACAAGCAGTGTCTTAATTTCCTCCCAGCAACAGTCAGTGTCTTAATTTCCTCCCAGCAACTAGAAATGTCATAACTTCCCCTCGACAAGGAGAAGTGTCATAACTTCCCCTCAGCAAGTAGAAATGTCACAACTTCCCCTCAGCAACTAGAAGTGTTTTAAATTTCCCTCAGCAAGTAGAAATGTCTTAAATTTCCTTCAGCAACAAAAAGTGCCTCCTTTCACATTGCTGTGAGCTGTCAAGGAAGCTAAAAACTTGGAATCTGGGGAATGACATAATACATCAGGCTCCGAAGAGTCGCCAATGTGTTCTGTAAATTCTGTTTACAGAAATTGATTTTTGGCAGGTTTATTTGCATCCACTGTGATCGAGAGGTGTTTATCTGCATTGAGGACCCTTTCCGATCGCTCGTCAAAGTTGTTTGTCTGTTTGGCTTCTCCAGAAACCGTATAGACAAGATGGAAGCACAGCTGGCAAGCCTGACTGCATGGGTGCATAATACCGTCAAGGCAGACAGCCGGTCTAACAGTCTAGAGAGAAATGGCGGCCATTCCAGCAGTGCTGTGTCGACGTCCGACAGTTCGGAGACCTTCCCTGGTTCAACAGCCAGCAGTAAGTACACATCCACTCACTCCAACACACAATAGTTCATCTAGCCAAGCAATTACCGCACCTCCATGGTCACTGAAATAACAATTTGTTCTATTCCCTACTCGGAACTGGTCGTACCTTTGGCATATTTTTTAGTGCCTGTTTCTATTTTATGGGTTTGATGAAGAACAGACATTGGGGTAAGTATTTTGTTGTCGATGCCAGACAAGTTTGAATTCTTCAAAGGATAAGCACATAATATTGCAAGGAGAGGCGAGTCCATGATCGCACGAGGTAGTGTTGTGTGGCTAGAACTCCGAAGATGGAGAGTGGTCTCGGGTGGTCGCAAGTTGATGACTTGGCACTCAGGAGTAAAATACACTTACAGCAGGAATATCTCATCCTTTGAGCAGGTAGGTTTTTTCTCCAAAATACATACCAGCTCTGTTATGCTTTATCAGGGTGCACATACGACTCTCGTTGTGTGGAAAATCAAGGGACTGTGAAGACCATTCTGAGGATGCCTCTAGCGGTTGATGATGATGATGATGATTGTGTTGTATCTTTATCATCAGTATGTGATGTGATTAGCTGTCAATGCTTGTATGCCTGTCTGTCAGTTCATTGTCCTGTGAAGATGACGATTCCTATGTTATGTGGTGTTCACGTATTCATGATATCAACTGTTCCCATTTGTGTTCATGATATCAACACAATAGTATTCACTGTTCCCATCTGTGTTCATGGTATCAACACAATAGTGTTCACTGTTCCCATTTGTGTTCATGATATCAACACAATAGTGTTCACTGTTCCCATTTGTGTTCTTGATATCAATACATTAGTGTTCACTATTCCCATCTGTTTTCATGATATCAATACATTAGTGTTCACTGTTCCCATTTGTGTTCATGATATCAATACATTAGTGTTCACTGTTCTTCTCTATGTCTTGGAGACATGGGTGTCCCAGTGGTCAAAGAACTGTTTCATTGTGCAGAGTTGCATCCCTTGGCAATGGGAGGATTCACTGATTATGGATGAATCAGATTCCCACCAGTTATGATCCTTGATCTGTTAACCAGACTTTAGGCTTATGTGCCATGATATAACTGAAATAATGTTCAAAGTGACATTAAACCCAACTCACTCACTTACTCACTCACTCACAATATATGCCTGTATGTCTTTAGTTCATCCTCTCCTAACCATTTGCTATTGTGATTCATTTTCTTTCATAACCTCTGACATTTCTCTGAATATTGCAACCTGATCTCTGTATATTGCCAGGAACTTATATTACCTAGCAACTAACACCATTGAATAATGTAGACGTCATTGGTCGGGGACATTATCTTACTAAACTCTCTCACCTACTCCAAGGAATAAATGGTGGAAAGCGTTAATGTTCAGGCCACAATAAATTAATTAATATATTTTCATTTAATTCTTATTAAATGGCAGTTAGGGTTTAATTTTTAAATTATTTTGTATATTTTTTAAACAATTTGTTAAAGGCATTTGTTAACGCTAATTTCTAGCGGATGTGACTGACATAAGCATCAATGTTTGTGGGGACTTGATATTTGATTTATATGTTATAAAGTAAAGATATAAAGGAGCAATTTGTGTTAAGATATAAAAGAGCAATTTTTTTGGTCAGTATAGATATTTTGGGGACAGTAAAATAATTTGATGTGGGGTGTTCCGATATCAGGCTCAACAGTAATAACATAAGCGACAAACTTGAAGTATATTTATTCAACATTCATGACTTTTAGTGTCAGCGGATCCATAACAAAATAATATCTAGATCCAATAAATTGAGAGAATGTTGCATGAGGACGTCATGCATGAGAACACAGTACATTCAAGCTGCATCTCCAGTTTAGTATCGGTATACTACAGGGACATCAAAGGGACACAACTGTGATTGCTGCATTTTGTAACCATGGTAACCATAACACGTGACATGTCTATTTCAGCGTATAACACAGAGCGGAAGGTGACAGTGACAGGTACTAATATCGGTGAAGGATAACGCATATAGTTAGACACATGTTGCTACCCGCTGCCTTACCTAACAACCATGCATCATGCAGTGCCTAAACCTTCACAAACGTATCACGTAGTTATGGGTGGATGGTTTTCCGTCAAATTTGACCAGAGCATTATAAGCATTATTGGAACTTGATTCTTTGAGTTTCAAAAGTTTGTAGGAGACATATCCTGTGCATTAGCTACGGTTCCGTATCTCCTCATCCACAAATATACAACGGTAAATGTTTTGGAAAACAAGATGGCGGCCCCATGGATACCGTTAGCAGTGTTGTTTTCAATTTGGAATCTGTATTCAAAGTTCATGGTAGATTAAATAAGTTTACATATTTGTGGATAGGTGATTAAGGAAGAGATTGGTTTATATGTTTTCATGATTTGTACCCAATCAAAGATGTAGAAGTTCACTGTGAATCCTACGGAGCAAATGTCCCAATTTTCTAATGGGTGGATCTGTAGCCCCTGGTAGTGACATATAGAAGAACTGATATTAAGTGATGAATGGGGTACAGACACCACAGCTACCTGTACATGGTTTATGTACTCTATACATTAAGGGTTACTAAATGCTGTGGGGTAGTCTAGTGGATAAGTGTTTGGATCATCCAAGGATGATCTGGGTTGATTCCCAAGGTGGGTACGTGTACACCTGACATGGTGCTCTTCAGATTTAAACTGGCATCAACCCAAATTCACTCACTCACACATAGCTGGCTGGCTTGTTCATACTGATGTTGTATCCAGTTAGCCCTGAAATCTTGCAGTGATCAGGTCCAGGCCAGCGGTCTTCAAACAGCCAGATATCTCGTCTTAAACAAACCATTTTAAAGCAGCTCTGGTCAAATTATGAAGTTCAATACTAACAACTGTATGCCTAATATTTCCTCCAATCAATATACTGCTCAAAAGAAGTTGAAGAACACCAGATGTTTTTCATATGACTACAGTTAACCTGTTATGGCCATGACATATTAACTATAGTATTATAAAAAATTGGGAGTTCTTTTTCGTGGATCCTGCGCTTAACAAAACTCATATGAAAAAATCGGGTGTTCTTATATTCTTTTGAGTAGTATATATATACAAATATTGACAAGCCTGTACGACCTGGCACTAATGCATCATACACAATGCATGACAACAAAGTTTTAGTCGGGACAAGTGTGTGTCTGAGGTTTGAAATGCATCCACCATAAGAATATCAAAATGTTTTAGTCGGGACGAGTGTGTGTCTGAGATCTGAAATGCATCCACCATAAGAATATCACATCTCCCCCCCCCTTTCACCTGTGGGTGTGTGGCCACATTGACGACATGCTTACGTCCCCTTCCCCACCTCTCCCTTCTAACTCAGATTGTACCACGCACTCCATGTTGTGTGGTGTCTTCTGGGAACTTCTAGAACTCATTAAAATCAGATCTGTTACTCCGATACGATACCTCTGTGCGTGTAGATCTGATGACCTTCACAGAAGTTGACCTCAGGTGGACTCTCTAATCAGCCAATCAGCATTGAGAGTTCCATGTTCTTGGTACTGGTGAACAAAGCATTCAAGCTGGCAATTCAGATTTCAGTATCTTGAAAACAAACTTAACATGATTAGTTCTGAATGACGATGCCTTTACCTTGTATATTGTTGTACAAGGGCAGAACCAGCATTTTAGGTCCAAAACTTCAAAAACCTCTCTCAGTTGCGGAGGGGGGAGATTGTCTACAACATACTACATTTGGTTTTCCGCCCCCGCCCCCCAGGATCCCCTCTCTGAATCCGCCTATGTTGTGGGTGCTTTATGCACCATCGTTTCTGAACTCCATGGCATCAAGAACGGTCAGGTAGCCAAGTGGTTAAAGCGTTCGCTCATCACGCCAAAGATCCGGGTTTGATTCCCGACATGAGTACAATGTGTGAAGCCCATTTCTGGTGTCAACCGCTGTTATATTGCTGGAATATTGCTAAAAGCGGCGTAAAACCATACTCACTCACTCACTCGATCACCATGGCATCGATACCACAATGATCCCATCAAAAGATTTGTTTGTGTTCCATATGGCATTTATTTTGTTAAGCCTGAAATTCCGAATCACAGTGGTAGAGAAATGAAGCTACATTGTTTTAGTAAAACCCACATCTGATCGGCTCAAGAACCCATTTAGACTTCATTTAGATTGTATGTCAAAGTTCGATCTCGGTTGCTCCAATGCATGCGTCATCAGATCTTCAATCAGAGAGGAATCATTTCTGAGTAAGAGATCTGATTTTAACCGCCTGTATGTCACTTGCGAGTACCCACAACTGCCGAAGCAGGGATTCAGAATTACCACTGTCTCCTGCATACAGTGACATCAACAAGTCAGAGGAGCCATTGTGGTGCAATGATCTGTGTAGTCAGTAGTCATGCATAAAACGTGAGGCACAGTGGAGATTTCATTAATAACTATTTACATGACGAGGAATTTGACTCTCCTGAGCGAGTCATTGAGATGTAATACTATAAATGCTCCATTTCGAACATTTTGATACAGCTACATGTTTTAGGTTACTTCTTCATGTTAATAGTGATAATATAAGAAGACAGTGTCAGTTAGGTGATAGTAATACCACACAAATCGGTAGATTTGTAGTACCGTATTTGAAAATCATGGTTTATTAGATATGGACCAAATAGATTACAAAGAATTGTTGTGAAAGGTCCCTTTACACTTGCCTTGGGTTAAATAAAATCCCATAGACTATTTTACCCTCTGCACGGTGGATTGATCTCTCCGGTACCATCAATAGGGATGTCAAATCTGACAACTGCCAGAGCAGTCTCCGAGCACCTTAAACCTACCGGTATTTACTGACTCAGACCATACTTTATTTCAAAGAGAAACAAACGTTTCTGTCTTTAGCTTTTGTTCTTTGCTTGATGTTGCGTGTGTTTACAAAGCTTGCTTCTTTGCAATCATCCAATATATATCCATTTACCTGCTTCTGTTTTGCATATTTCTCCCAATTCTTCAATTATTTTATTTCAATATTTTGTTTTTCTTAAGAATCTTTCATCTCTATCCTCTTGTGTTTTTAACTGTTCTTGACGGAGTCACTGCTGGTACAACAAACGTCATGACACCAGTTTCACATTTTGAAAAGCCATGTTCACTTTTAACCTCTTCCAAAAGTGACGTCTTTTAAACTGGAGTTACAGAGGGACCTTTCTACAATAAACCCTGTCTATCTGGATGGCAGTGAAAGGACACTGCAAGATAAGGACCCTTCTTGGCCTACTGGAAATGTCAGATTTGAAAGTTAGGGAAATTTTGATATAGTGGTATCAGACATGTTCATATTGTTGACAATTACCCTTTTTCCTCTTGTTACATGCAAGTTTTAGACTTCTGACATGATCAAGTATATAAGAAGGGTTAAAATTAGAGAGAAAGGATGGTGTTTCCATATAGAAGAAAAGATCTGCCTAGTTTGTGACCCAGGATGATCTTTTTACATTATGTCTTTATATGTCTTTCATATATATATCTCCTAAGAAATATATCTTGGTAAAAGACTTGCTCATTGTCAATATGAAAAAAATCCTTAGCCTTTTCAACACAATATTTAGCCTCATTTTTTATTGAGTAAAAAAAAAAAGTGTTGAAATGAACAAAGTCTAGTTGTCACACATATGAACAATCTGATAACTGTCACAATTTCTAAACACTTAGTTTATTTCTTAACTATGCAGTACCTATGGTAAAAAAGGCCCCTTGTCATACATTTCCCTCTCCAGTAAAAAAGGGTAGATAAATGAGTCATTGGTACAACAATGTCTCTTTTGACTTTGATAGATCCTATGTTGGACCAAAGAGCAGTGTACACGTATAAGAACATCTGTAGAGGTATATAACTGTCTAACTCTGAGCTGATGCCATTATTTGCTGTAACGTTGTAAGAGTTACCCCTCTTCATGCACTGTCGGGGCGGTCAGGTAGCCTAGTGGTTAAAGCGTTCGCTCGTCACGCCGAAGACCCGGGTTCGATTCCCGACATGGGTACAATGTGTGAAGCCCATTTCTGGTGTCCCCCGCCGTGATATTGCTGGAATATTGCTAAAAGCGGCGTAAAACCATACTCACTCACTCACTCATGCACTGTCCTCTTGCTTCAGGCATGTCAGACATCCCCACGGCCTCCAGTCAGAGCGGGACGCTGACTGGCTCCGAGCTGCGAGACTCCGATCTACGTGACTCCATCCTGAACATCCGGCAGAAGGCCTGCGAGCTGAAGGGGGAGTTGCGTGGTCTGCGTCGCATGCAGCAGATCAACAAGGAAGACATGATGGACACCATTCAGAAGACCATCGTCCAGCTCAAGGTAGGTCACATGACATTGACACCATTCAGAAGACCATCATCCAGCTCAAGGTAGGTCACATGACATTGACACCATTCAGAAGACCATCATCCAGCTCAAGGTAGGTCACATGACATTGACACCATTCAGAAGACCATCGTCCAGCTCAAGGTAGGTCACATGACATTGACACCATTCAGAAGACCATCATCCAGCTCAAGGTAGGTCACATGACATTGACACCATTCAGAAGACCATCGTCCAGCTCAAGGTAGGTCACATGACATTTACACCATTCAGAAGACCATCGTCCAGCTCAAGGTAGGTCACATGACATTGACACCATTCAGAAGACCATCGTCCAGCTCAAGGTAGGTCACATGACATTGACACCATTCAGAAGACCATGGTCCAGCTCAAGGTAGGTCACATGACATTGACACCATTCAGAAGACCATCGTCCCCCTCAAGGTAGGTCTATTTGTTCAGATATTTTGCCACATATTTTGAGATTATGACATAGAATAGAAAATATGGTACTCATTTAGAAAATATCTACACATATTTCAAGACTATAACACTTATAAAAGATATTGTTGCATGTTTTGAGATTATGCCACACATTTAGAGATCATGCCCATATTTTGAATTTATGCCACTCATTCCGAAGTGACAGATCAGTTCATTATTAGTTGATCATATGTTGGCATGACCTAGTTTCCTGACGCCAGTGTTGGGTCCAGGTCCATCAGCTGGTCCAGCATCTAGAGTGTTGGTATGAGGTTGTGACATGGAGATCTCCTGTTGTCAGGATGTGCTGCGGACCATTCCCGGTGCCAGCAGTCAGGTGGTCCGGCGCCAGAGGTCGGAGACCGACTCAGACAGACACACATACATCGAGGACAAGGCAAAGATAGCTAAAGAGTTGACGTGAGTTGCCAGGATGTAATGTGTGCTGTGTGGTATGAAGTATGCTGTGTGGTATGAAGTATGCTATGTGGTATGAAGTGTGTTATATGGTATATGAAGTGTGCTATGTTGTATATGAAGTGTGCTATATGGTATGAAGTGTGTTATATGGTATATGAAGTGTGCTTAGTGGTATGAAGTGTGCTATGGTATGAATTGTGCTATGTGGTACGAAGTGTGCTATGTGGTATGAAGTGTGCTATATGGTATATGAAGTGTGCTATGTGGTATATGAAGTGTGCTATGTGGTATATGAAGTGTGCTATATGGTATGAAGTGTGCTATATGGTATGAAGTGTGCCATATGGTATTTGGAGTGTGCTTAGTGGTATGAAGTGTGCTATATGGTATGAAGTGTGCTATATGGTATATGAAGTGTGCTATATGGTATGAAGTGTGCCATATGGTATATGGAGTGTGCTTAGGGGTATGAAGTGTGCTATATGGTATGAAGTTTGCTATATGGTATATAAAGTGTGCTATATGGTATGACGTGTGTTATATGGTATATGAAGTGTGCTATATGGTATGAAGTGTGCTTAGTGGTATATGAAGTGTGCTTAGTGGTATGAAGTGTGATATATGGTATGAAGTGTGCTATATGGTATATGAAGTGTGCTATATGGTATATGAAGTGTGCTATATGGTATGAAGTGTGCTATATGGTATATGAAGTGTGCTATTTTAAAGTGTGCTATGTTGGATAAAAAAAATTGGGTAATTTCACTGAATTTTGATTTGTTATCAAAGCTGTCAATAATCTAATGTGGTGCTGTATCAACTCACTGAAGTTGATTCTTGGATAAAATTGGGACCCAGCAACCTTTGCTGGTTGTATGATGCGACTAAATGAATCATGTCGTCATGACTCGGTAATTTGGTTTAAAGTGAGTCATCATACCCAGATTGTGGATGGATTGTTGCTCATGATATCAATCACTAGAGTGTCTAGTCTCAATAACTTACAATGACTGCCAGGCCCATCATATTGTTGGAATATTGCTGAGTGCTGATTTGACAACAAACTAACAATACTACCATCAACCAGCACCATACTACCAAATTAGCATTCAGCCATGAACCTCAGACCATCGATGGCAGTCAATCATAACACCTATTTAATACACACCATGATGAGGAAACCCAATTCTGTTACCATGTTTCAGTGACCTTGAGTCTAGCGTGGAAGAGTTGCGAGCAGACGTCATATCCCGCCAGTGTCGAGTCAACATGTCCGACGTAGAAGGAATGGCTCTCATACTGAGTAATGTCACCAAGTCACTGGCTGATCTCAAAGGTAGAAAACAATTAAAGTCATTTTTTTTCTTATTTTATGTTTAGTATGAGTAATTTTCAAGACAGCTACAGTACAATCTATCAAAACTGTCTGCAAGCATTACAGCAATCAAGACCATAGTACAGCTTCCAAAAAGTGACCAAAATCAAGTCTGATGCAATTCCTTATTTTGACTTGTAACACATGTATGTGTTCCCATATTTGTTCAGGTTAACACTTGACTTGCCTTTGCATGTGTTTGTGATGGTGCCACCTGTGGGTCAGGATATGCTCACCTTTTGGTGAGCACAAGGCATGGTCACATTTGATAGTTGATTCATAAACACATTTGATAGTGATTCATGATATAGTCAGAATTGTAAAATGGTCTGTGCTTTTAGCAGAGATTTCTTATGATTATGGAAGGGTTTTGTCACTGTTATTAATATTTAGAGCAGCCTATGTGGTCTATCTTTGGCCCAATTATACGTCAATGTTTTCAAAGGTAAATAAAGTTGTTTGCTTCTGAACAAATCCAAAAAAGGTGTGAGGCGTCCAAGATTATTGCACTTAAATAGTGACGTGCATGCACGTGTGTGTGTGGCTGCTTGTACTAGTATGGACTGATGCCGATTTATAGTGCTAGCTCACTGAGATACCAGACCGCAGTTTAACATGAATACCCCACTTAGACACAGTATACTTACTGACTCCGAGCCGACCAGTCCTTGTTTTAGCCCCTTAATGCCGAGCGCCAGACAGGGTAACAACAAGTAGCATTTTTAACGTCTTTTGGTATGACGCAGCCGGGGATCAAACCCCAGACCTTCTGCTCTCCTGGCGGACGCTCTACCACCAGACCAGGGAGGCAGTCTAATTTATTTCAATATATTTCAAGGATTCTTACAAGAAATATGGCAGTCCTGTAAAGTAATGAAATGATGGTACTGCACTGGAAGATTTGATAAATGTTTTAATTACAGGACCTTTATATTCTTGTCAAAAATTGGGTACAATGAATTTTTATTTATTGTGTTTCCTTCAGGATGCAATATGAATATATATTTATGCGTCTAGTGTATACATTTGTGTGTATAAATCAGAATGTGTACAGTAACTGTTGGTTCTGAGTAACTATGTAATATGATGGATGTTTCCAGCGAGGTATCCAGCCCTGCAGGAGCAGCTGAAGTTGGTGATGGCAGGGGAGATGGAGATCGTGGTGCAGGAAGAGAAGTAAGCGACAATCTTTGTCAGAACAGTGTTGACAATCTCAGTAAAACCTGGTCTTTGTCAGAACAGTGTTGACAATCTCATTAACCCACAACATTGTCAGTAAAACCTGGTCTTTGTCAGAACAGTGTTGACAATCTCATTAACCCATGACATTGTAGGTAAAACCTGGTCTTTGTCAGAACAGTGTTGACAATCTCATTAACCCACAACATTGTCAGTAAAACCTGGTCTTTGTCAGAACACTCTTGACAGTCATGTTTGGACTTGACATTGCCAGTTAGTCTCTGTTTGATAGTGTTTGTGCTTCAGTTCAATCAGTACAGTACAGGGTGGTAGGTTTGTGTATTCCAGGTTCCTGAAGGAAGAACCGGAGAAGCTAGAGATAGACCTGAAGAGATGCAAGAAGCTGACGGGGACGCTGTACACACTGAAACGGTAGGAGTAATGGAAGGCAAACTCACAGTCAGGATTGGGAGTGAATGTTGATATCTGCCAGCTATGTCCCAGTGGCCTGTAAACTGTTGAGTCTGGTCCAGACAAACTAGTGGTGGACCACATGAGCTTCAATCCATGTCATTGAGGCATGTTGACAGTCAGTCAATAATTAGTCTAGGTTTAAAACAAGCATGGGGTACTGTGGACCTGTTCTGTCCTGGAAGCCTACAGGGGACAAGCATGGGGCACTGGGGACCTTTTCTGTCCTGGAAGCCTACAAGGTACAAGCATGGGGCACTGGGGACCTTTTCTGTCCTGGAATCCTACAGGGAGACAAGCATGGAGTACTGGGGACCTGTTCTGTCCTGGAATCCTACAGGGGACAAGCATGGGGTACTGGGGACCTTTTCTGTCCTGGAATCCTACAAGGTACAAGCATGGGGTACTGGGGACCTGTTCTGTCCTGGAATCCTACAAGGTACAAGCATGGGGTACTGGGGACCTGTTCTGTCCTGGAATCCTACAGGGAGACAAGCATGGGGCACTGGGGACCTTTTCTGTCCTGGAAGCCTACAAGGTACAAGCATGGGGTACTGGGGACCTGTTCTGTCCTGGAATCCTACAGGGAGACAAGCATGGGGCACTGGGGACCTTTTCTGTCCTGAAATCCTACAGGGGACAAGCATGGGTTACTGGGGAACTGTTCTGTCCGGGAATCCTACAGGGAGGCAAGCATGGGGCACTGGGGACCTTTTCTGTCCTGGAATCCTACAGGGGACAAGCATGGGTTACTGGTGACCTGTTCTGTCCTGGAATCCTACAGGGGACAAGCATGGGGCACTGGGGACCTTTTCTGTCCTGGAATCCTACAGGGGACAAGCATGGGTTACTGGGGACCTGTTCTGTCCTGGAATCCTACAGGGAGACAAGCATGGGGCACTGGGGACCTTTTCTGTCCTGGAATCCTACAGTGGACAAGCATGGGTTACTGGGGACCTGTTCAGTCCTGGAATCCTACAGGGAGACAAGCATGGGGTACTGGGGACCTATTCTGTCCTGGAATCCTACAGGGGACAAGCATGGGGTACTGGGGACCTGTTCTGTCCTGGAATCCTACAGGGAGACAAGCATGGGTTACTGGGGACCTGTTCAGTCCTGGAATCCTACAGGGAGACAAGCATGGGTTACTGGGGACCTGTTCTGTCCTGGAATCCTACAGGGAGACAAGCATGGGGCACTGGGGACCTTTTCTGTCCTGGAATCCTACAGGGGACAAGCATGGGTTACTGGGGACCTGTTCTGTCCTGGAATCCTACAGGGAGACAAGCATGGGGCACTGGGGACCTTTTCTGTCCTGGAATCCTACAGTGGACAAGCATGGGTTACTGGGGACCTGTTCAGTCCTGGAATCCTACAGGGAGACAAGCATGGGGTACTGGGGACCTGTTCTGTCCTGGAATCCTACAGTGGACAAGCATGGGTTACTGGGGACCTATTCTGTCCTGGAATCCTACAGTGGACAAGCATGGGTTACTGGGGACCTGTTCTGTCCTGGAATCCTACAGGGGACAAGCATGGGTTACTGGGGACCTGTTCTGTCCTGGAATCCTACAGGGAGACAGGCATGGGGCACTGGGGACCTTTTCTGTCCTGGAATCCTACAGTGGACAAGCATGGGTTACTGGGGACCTGTTCAGTCCTGGAATCCTACAGGGAGACAAGCATGGGGTACTGGGGACCTATTCTGTCCTGGAATCCTACAGGGGACAAGCATGGGTTACTGGGGACCTGTTCTGTCCTGGAATCCTACAGTGGACAAGCATGGGTTACTGGGGACCTATTCTGTCCTGGAATCCTACAGTGGACAAGCATGGGTTACTGGGGACCTGTTCTGTCCTGGAATCCTACAGGGGACAAGCATGGGGTACTGGGGACCTATTCTGTCCTGGAAATACTGGGGACCTTTTCTGTTCTGGAGTCCCACTGGGAGACTCATTTATGAGTATCAATCGGTGTATTTAGTCTGGAAACAATTTTAAAGCTTCATTTCACTTCCATGCCTGACAATGAGCCTTGGCATGTCACCCTAATTTGTCCTTCACGTCTGACAATGAGTCTGATCATACTGTGATTTCACTTTCATTGTTTGACAATTATTCTGGTTATACATCTTTTCACTTCCATACACGTCGCTATATAAGTGCAATAATCTTGGACGCGACGTTAAACCCAATTTCACCTCACCTCACCTTTCACTTCCATATTTGTCAGTGAGATTGATCATATTATCATCCTTTCACTTTCATTGCTTGACAATTAGCCTGGTTAGCCTGCAGTATTAGCTACATTTGACTTCCATATCTGAACCGAGTCTGTCCATATTCTGCAGACTGGCTTCAGTCCAGGAGCATCGCCCGCCCCAGATCCCACCCATCGCCTCCAACCTGAAGGAAGTAGGTGATGAAGACAGGAAGACTGTTCTAGAAAACATCCGAGCCATCGTCCCCAACCATGACAGTCGTGTCGCGAAGATTGAGGTACGGATAAACTATTGTCTATACCTCGCTGGATGCGTAAGTTGTCTTCCCCTTGTAGTGTCTGTGTTGTAACGTCACACAAGGTCACGGGTTTATCTTCTTAAAAGATTGGGAAATTTATTAAAAAAAATATTTAAAAAATTTTTATTTTTTTTTTCCAAACTGGGTCCAAAGACCACGGAACTGTAAGAAGAAGATGCAGTCACAAAAATTACACTGTGTCCTTAAGATTCTTGAGATTGATGTTTGGGTCCAGAGGTCCAGTCATCTTAGCTGCCGCAATTTGCTGTATAGAGCTGCGTATCCTGGGCAGACCAGAAAACTACGATCATGGGTTCAAATCCTAGTTTGTCCCAAGTATGCTTCTAGGTTTGGGTTTCATTGAAGTGGTAAACGTCAAGACCTCCATCCTCCAACATCAAGTTGACACGCCGTGATGTAACTGGAATACTGTTCAAAGCAGCGTTAAACCCAACTCACTAAGATTGATGTTTACAATATTCTTACAAATAAAAGTAATAAATAAGCATATACTTGTGCTTCTGAATTAATAATATGTTTCCGTATTGATAAAAGTCTGTGTATATATTTTTACTTTACACCAGGAATGTTCCACAAGGCAGGTTTCCTGTCTAACAGGGCTTCACTGTATTTGAGTTTTGCTGTGTGTTTATGTCAGTAAACATGAATGAGATATTGCTGAATAGGCAATTTATGTGTAAATCTTGTTTCTGATGCCTATGTTTGATCTCCACAGGCAGCTGAGACATCCCGGGAGAGAAAGAAAAAGATCTCTACCAAGCAGGAAGCTCTCAAGATGGGGAAATCTCTAGAACTGGCATCTCGAGCCCTGCGTCCGGCGTCAGAGAGTGATGGGGATGTGGACTTCAGGGACAGTGTGGACTGTGGGCCGAGGTCTGCACCTCCACATGCATCCATGCCGCTGACGGAAACTACGGAGAAAATCAGTAATGTCGGCATGAAATGTGAAAGTGACGCAAAGAACACAACAGATAAATACGCAGCTAGAGCAGCCTTCTTCGGAGACATGTCACCACCAAAATCGCCGGAGAAGGAGGTGAACCCTTCAAGAATGACAATGGACTATACTGTTAGGATACCATCTTCGAGTTTAACTTCTGGTGGGGGATCCAAACCCAACAATCTGAATGATACGTACATTCTTAAGAGTGACATCTCCCCCACACGATCTCAGCTGAGCATTCCACGAGTATCTGGTAAGTCATCCTCCCAGCCCACATCCCCCAGCAGCAAGAAGGGAGAAAGTTCCGATGGCAAACAGAGAAAGGTTCCTCCTCCGCCTCCTCCGAGGAAAAGCAGCCGTCTGCCAACAGCAAGTATTTCCAGTAGTTCCAATACAACCAATGGCAATGTTGTGTCTCCGGTTCACACTGTCTCTGTAATCTCGCCATCTCCAGACGAGTCCGAGGACAAAACAAAGAATGCCATATATCATGAAGGTCAAGGTCGTGGGCCGGTATCATCCACACCAAAGCCTACACCTCCCAAAAAACCCACATCTAAGTTTGAGAAGGATCTCGTTGCGGGAATATATGCAAATATGAATCGTCCTGATCTTCAAAGTCAGAAAGTGGCACCTGAGCGCATAATAAACAAAGCGAGCGTGGAAGAAGGAAAGAGATTGTCTCGGGAAGAGCGAGGAAGCAGCAGCGAGAGCACGAGCTCTAGTGCAAGTCTGGACTCGCAACAAGGGGGCGTTGTGATGAGGCGGACATCAGCAGATGTTGTCCGGCGGGAGAGTACCGGGGAGAGAAAGGTCAAGCCCCCGCCCCCAGAACGCCGATCAAGTCTGCTTCAGAAGAAAGCAACAAGTCCATCGGACGAGAAGATATTAGCACAGCAGAGGATTCAGGAGGAACAGAAGAAGTTGGAGGAACTTGTTCGAGAAACAAACGAGATGATGAAGCGACAGAGTACAATACAGACCACGGAGAAAACCAACATGAATGGGATCAACTCGAAGGCTGGTGACAGAAAGTCTGGAGTGAACAGGTAGCTGGTGGCTTGAGTTGACAGATGGTGCTATAACTACAGATGCAAATACCACAAGTGGTTGCCTTCATTTTGTGCCACTGACCTGCACTCCAGACTGGAGCTGACCAGACGGGTGGAGACTTGTGTGGTCAGTAACTTGACCAGAGCCCATCCGATGTGAGTTCCTGCGGGAACCCGGACTACGTCCCTTCAAGTGCCAACAACCCAATACTTGTTTGGTTATAAGGCATAAAGGGAAGCAACTCTTGCCATGTTGTGAAAAAGATACAATGTGATACTGGATACTTAGGGAGGAACACTGACCACAGCTTGTGATGGACAAAACCATGTCTGTGTGTGGAAGAAATGGATCCAAGGATGTTCGTGTGATTGTAACTTAATCAGACCTCTGCAAAGAACTGCATCGATTTTCAACGGATGATTGAACTCGTCCAGAAACATTCAAGTGATTATTGATTCTGTTGTTAAAATAAACTTGTCCTTGGATGAAGAAGAAAGGAAGAGAAAGAAAAAGATGATTATGGTGACCATCTTTGATACTTGGGACAATGATATCAATATTGATCATGGATAGTGCTGTGATTATTGTATTTAAATCCATGGCATTCATGACTCTTGTGTGCGGTTGAATGCAATATAGTGTGAAAGCATTTCACTAGCATTTTTGTAGATAGGAGCTTGATGGTGCAATAAGTGAAGTAATAAGGTTGGAGACATTAGGAGAGATCAAGGAACTCCAATGGAACGCCGGTCAAACAGACTGACCTGCAATAATGTCCAGAATCAAGATGGACATGCAGTGTGCTGTCCATGGCTTGTGTTCAGCAGGCATGGCTGCACCAGCAGATGGCATTGAGTGGACTCGGAACACTGTGAACGTAGACACAGGAGTGTGAGAGGATTATGTATTGATACCCTGTTGTGGCAGGAGTCTAGTGACAAGAGGGTCGTGTCATGGGGCGACAGACACACAGCTGCATGTGTAATGAGGGGACAATGTGGTTTGATTCCGATGGAGGAAACGAAGAAGTGAAACATTTATATTGGTTCTGGAATGGTGAAAGCTGTGTTGAGTAGTGGAACGTACTGGTCATGAATTGGTCATTTGCTAGGTGCATTTAAAGGAACTGATTTCTTGGCATTTATTATAAGCTTGAACTCAACCCTTGTTTAAGGGAGAAATGTGTCTGAATGCACCAATACTCAGTGGGAACAGACAGATAGTATACATGATGAGGGCATTGCTTTGTATCGGATGGTATTGCAGTAAATCGGATTGTATGGTTACATATCGTATGGTATAGCTACATATCGGATGGTAAAGCTGGATATCAGATGGTATAGCTACATATCAGATGGTATAGCTACATATCTGATAGTATTCTAGTATATCGGATGGTAAAGCTACATATCGGATGGTATAGCTACATATCGGATGGTAAAGCTACATATCGGATGGTATAGCTACATATCAGATGGTATAGCTACATATCGGATGGTATTCCAGTATATCGGATGGTAAAGCTACATATCGGATGGCATAGCTGCATATCGGATGGTAAAGCTACATATCGGATGGTATAGCTGCATATCAGATGGTAAAGCTACATATTGGATGGTATTCCAGTATATCGGATGGTAAAGCTACATATCGGATGGTATAGCTGCATATCGGATGGTAAAGCTACATATCGGATGGTATAGCTGCATATCGGATGGTAAAGCTACATATCGGATGGTATAGCTGCATATCGGATGGTATTCCAGTATATCGGATGGTAAAGCTACATATCAGATGGTATAGCTGTATATAGGATGATGGTAAGCTATGCATCTGATGATAGGGCTGCATATCCAATGGTATGCCTGCATATCTGATAAGGGTAAAGCTATGTCTTTGACGAGGGAAATTAAATTGATCTGTTACAGTAGTTACACAAAGTTATGCAAGGTGATGGACCCAAATGTTTCTAGACCCTCTCATTGAAACCAAGAATATACCAGCAATTATGTTCTTGAACACGTTCCCAATAACATGTGTTGATATATGTGCCGCGGATACAATATACACGATGAACGAACTGTGACACAAAGGAATTTATGATAATCCAGACTTTAGTATTTAATCAAAGGAGAATTGTACCTAGATGTCCTTGTGTGTCCTTGTATTTGCCTCGCAGTGACAAATGTTTGCTGGTGTGAGGATTACAGTACGAATCAGTCAGGGATCATTCATTGCAGTTGTTTGGTGTTTAATATCATGAAGTCGTGGTTTCACTCACGTTTTAGAAACTGTTAGGAAAACTTGGATGCTGTTGTTGAACTGTGAGTTTCAGTCCAGTATTGTTACCTGTATTGTATGTTACAATTCGTCCAGACTGCTTTCAAACTCATACCTCATTCTTGTGATTTTCAATTCTACTTTACAAGTTTTGTGGTTCAACTGTTTTCATTTTCTCGAGTGTGAATTTCAAAGTTGAGAGTAGATATTGTCCAGTTGAAACAGTTTGGATATTTGAAGCATTTAATGGCATATCGTTTTTCCTTTCGAGTATTTAATTTGAAAAGTCACCTTGTATACTTTTCCGGGTTTTGTCTGTTAAACTATAAGCTGATTGTTGCATGTACATACTTAGATTTTTTATGACTGTAGTGTCAACAGTTTAGACCAGGTGCAATACAATGGAATTGTGTAGAGACTTTTCATCGACCGTCACCAGATAACAAGCTTTTCAGATTTTTTTCAAGTAGATTTTTTTGTTGCATTGTATGTTAATCAAGTGAACTTTGGTTGTGAGATTTGGATATTTCCACATATTCTGATATGAAGATCCGTGGAAATAGGACAATATGCAAGAATATATGGACTTCGGCAGCCATCTTTGTTTTCATGTTGCTGGTAACAAATCGCCATTATGCTTGTTTATGCCACCAGTATTTTCCATGATTTTAGAAAAATGGACCAGGCAAAACATATTTATTCAAAAACAAATTATATTTTTATTGGGGTTCAAATGTAAAATGTGGGGTATTAACTTATTTTCAAGCTTTTTCACTAATTCCTCATTAATTTGAAATTAACAATCTTGCTTGGAAACGACTTGAAAACTAACATTCCATCCTGCTATTCAGTGACTATGCAAGCTCGCTGCAAAAAGTATGTCATCTTAAACTGCCTTAGGTTGAAATCTGAGATGGAAAGTGGTATGTTCTGTAGAAAGTCATGCAGGACTGAATAAACGATTATCACATACGACAAGGATTTGTTATCTTATCAGTGTACAAGGAAATTAGTTAAGCACCTCTTACTATACTTCTCAAAGTTTGTGAAGTATCAAGTTTTGATGATGCAAAAATCATCCACCAAATAAAGATTGATATATCCAGGTACCCAATGATTGGGTAACAGGACATCGATTTCATAATGAACAGACATCATCTTTGGAAAGCACTACATTTGCTACTGAGGATTGCAAAGCTGTCATGTGATGACTGATGAATTAAGCAGATGCATAGGCATGCTTAAAACTGGGTCATCACAATGTCACATTGCAAATGTCTTTTGTGTCAGCCAAAGTGTGATCAGCAGGGCATGGAATCGATACTAGCCATTTGGATCAGCTGCCCAGCAACATGCGCCACACAGTGAGAAGGCAGGTTTTGCCAGATTGCAGCAAGATGTCATCACTTCGTGACTGCCACCACACTCAGATATGTTCTGAGGAATGCCAGTGGCATTAACGTTTCTGCTCAGACTAATTGTCTCCGTCGCAGGCAGGTACATTTGGACTGGGCTGAAGATCATGTCATTTGGAAAGACGAGGACTGGGCTCCAGTACTTTTCACAGATGAATCGAGGAACTATCTAGACTACACAGATCGCCATGCCAGAGTGTGGTGTAGACAAGGACAAAGATTTAAGGAGCGTTCCAACATTGCCCAACATGACAGCTATGGAGGGGGCTCAATCATGATTTTTGGTGGGAGCAGTAGAGTTGAAAGAACCGATCTCCATGTGATACTTTGAGACTTGATGACAGGTGTATATAAGGATGACATTCTGGATGTGTACGTGAGACGTCCTTTCAGACTGGACTTAATCCTCATGCACAATAACGCATGACCTCATCATGCCAGGGTCGTTGATGCCATCTTAGGGCAAGAGACCACTGACCGCACGGAGTGGCCAGCCTGGTCACCAGACCTCAACCCTTGCGTTACTGAGTTTGTTTGGGGATAATGAATTTGTTTTCGTGATTTTTTTGTTTCAGGTTTGGTCAGATACTCTTATTCTGACCAATTATTGGTCCCATGTTATTTGTTTGCATTGTGTGGCACAGACCTTTGTTCATTAAGCATGTCTTCACACAAATACTGTCTTTGGCTACTTCAACAGATGCACACAATTTGGTTATTAAAGTGGTAGTCGTTAGCAAACTTTGAGTAATATATATATATTACTTAAAAGATCATCCAATTTGTTCTTATGAGTACAATGTAGTAAATCTGTCAAGACCAGGTGTTCTTTAACTTCTTTTGAGTAGTATATTTCCATGTTCCATATTGACACTGAAATTAATCATCTAATGACGTTTTGTAACTGCTCCATGTCAATAGTTATCCAGGGTCCAGACTTGATAGGCCACTGTCTTATTGGTGGAATATCCCTTAAATGTGGCGTTAAACAACGAACAATGCTTGGTTATTCTGTGTAATCTCTGTGTATCATATAACCAAGTCCTTTTGACCATCTGGAGGAGGTGAGGTGAAATGGGGTTTAACGTCGGGCCCATGTGCGTGTGGCTGCTTGTACTAGTCCAGACTAACTAAATGCTGATTTTATAGTGCTAGCCCACTGAGATACCATGACGCAGTTTAACATGATCTCAGACACAGTATACTGGATCTTCCGCTCTCTAGGTGGGGGAGACGCTCTACCACTAGACCACGGACTTGATCCCATCTGGAGGAACATCTGCAGAGGAAGTATCAGAGGCACTTTGGACTTTTGTCAAAATTAGATCAGGCATGATGTTTTTATGGGGATAACGATGATGAGCCAATCAGTTCTCTGCTCAAATTGACACCCGGAGCTACATGAGTAAGTCTTCTGCTGCACGCTCATAAACTGAGGGGCAAAAGGAAAGAGTGAGTGTGAGTGAGTATGGTTTTACGCCGCTTTTAGCAATATTACGGCGGGGGACACCAGAAATGGGCTTCACACATTGTACCCATGTCGGGAATCGAACCCGGGTCTTCGGCGTGACAAGCGAACGCTTTAACCACTAGGCTACCCAACCGCCTCGCAAAAGGAAAGAATTGAAAGAACTGTTGTTTAATCAGATTACGTCATCACTCAGTCCTGCAGCAGTTTGTAAAAAGAAATCTGTGGGTGGGTAGTTTTGTATATTAAATATATCGGTTCAATGAGATTGAAGTTGCCCCCGACCAGGTTTGAAATGTTGCAACTGTACTGATCTTCAAAGATGTCTAAGACACCCACCAGTAGTTTGAAATCAAATTATATTTATAAATAAAGGTATTTTAAAATGAAAATCAAACATGTGGAAGAATCAATCATTTCTTTTGCCCCTCATCACATCATCTTCCGCAGCAATAGGCAGCAGGTTCCATCAGAGGACATGCCCGAATCACCACACAGACATAATAATTTGACAAAGTCAACATGAGACAGTGTACAGAATTAATTTATTTATTGACAACCTGGGCAACTGTCAACATAATATTGTCTATCCTCTGATCTGTACAACTACATAGACCAACACAGCAGACATCCAACTCAACACAAACTTGTCCCCATGTTTATGAGATGTGTGAGTGTTGTATTCCTGCTGGCGAGTCTCCAGCATCCTTAATTTTCCAGCATATCATTTCTCTATTCTATTATGACACATACCCTTAAATCATCAACCAATCAAAATCATGAAATGGATGGTTATTTTTAGGGCATCATTCGAGCCAGACTCCAAACGTAGCAATAATTGCGAATGGGTCCAGAATATTATCATAATAAAATGAGATATAATACACTAAAATCAAGGACAACCTCGGAGAAGAATCTGTGTTATATATGTAAAAGCAGTTACTGTACACACACGTAGCATCAGTTAGCTCTTGACATACTCAATATATACACAACAGTTTGTACACACTCTACAGTCATGTGGCCAGTCTCAAACCTCACTACTGTTTCATTAGCAGAAAACAGGCCTCAACACTCCAAGGGGGACAATTGGTTGTCCTAGCACTTTTGATTCAAGTCATTCAAATCCCACTTGGTCTGCTAACTCAAACGTTACATCTAGATAAACCTAGTGTTAGTTTGCACATATTTAACAAAGTTTATGAACCAAAATCAGAAATGAGCGAAATTTAGATTAACCAGGGGAGACAACTTCTTGAACACGTTTCAGACATGGAAGAGAAATAATACAGAATCTTGGATGATGCTAAGAAAAAAAGTATTATGTTGATTGTGTGGCACATAACCATTGAAATCAGGAACTTAATCCATGTGAAGTCAGAACCAGTCCTTCTTTCAATGGACAAATCAAACTGAACTCAAACGACAAGGTTTGATAAGTATCTTCGCGCACATCAGTATCTATGCATGTATCTACAAGTGATTTGGGTTTAAACAGTATTCCAGTTATATCATGGCATATCAAACCGACTTGCAATGGGTGACAGTACCAGCTAACCCTGGCCACACAATCTTCAACACAACCACAATAGACTAGTTGTCACTGGAAAACTTTAGCATGATTCTTCCCCCTAGGATTGACACTTACGACACCCAGCTGACCCCACTGGAGTACTTATCACTGAGACGTACATATATTGCAAGCTCACCTCGTAACAATTTTCCAAAGGTTAGGTAAACATTTCTTGGATCCCATTTGACACATATCATGACTACTACCACCTCCGGCGACCTCTCCCAGGTCCATAATGCCCTGAACCAAGCCCCGACATTGAGTCACCATAATATCAACACCTCTTAATCAATGTTTTGATTATTCCATGAATATAATCAATGTACTTGCATAGGTATGTAGGACATGTTATCACAAACAATACAACCAATCATGCTAAAATTTCCATCCCAACAATACAGTCAACAAAACAAAGATGAGCTACATGATTTGTTTCCTATAACAATTCACAATCAAATTCAAGAGATCCTTGATAATGACTTGGAGCCAAAATGAGCTAGAATTAATTTCACAACCCTAGCATGAATTCCAAGCAAACTTCTCATATCTATCTTTTCAGCGATAAAAAAAGTTTAAAGTTTAATATCAAAATTGATAATATAAAAAGGTCACGTCTTTCATTCCTTCAGATCACAAATCTCGCTACCTGCTTTTGGTTTAAGACAGTGTCATAACTGGAGGCTCTGATTCCGGACCACAGTCCTCAAAGTGGGAGGCAGCAACGAAGACACATCTTTCATTTTCCCCAAACATAAACAGCAGTCATCTCTTTCAGTTCAACACCTTTCACAAACTACTGTAAGCAAGAACTTACAATTTACTCAAGAAACAATTTTTCAAGCTTGGTCTTATATTCTTGGTACAGTGCTCCTAGATAACGTGTCCCCATCCTGATTCTAGACTAAGATGGGTTGTGAAAGCTCTGGCTGCCTTGAAGGATCGAACAGTACCTGTAGGTCTACAGCAGATATAATGATAATAATCAGTTCGGTCCCACTCGGCCAACTTATCCTTAGATGTTCCAAAAATACACTCTCGACACCGCCATTTGACGAAGCAGCCTGCTGAGGATATGTGTAATATCACAACGCGATCAGCTTCCTCCATGTGACAGCTGTTCGCGTCCCTGGCGTTCAGTGTAACTTCCATGTCGGCCGAGTCCAGCTTAGCTTCTTGTGTTGACAATCATCACAGTAAGATCCCTGAGTATTTGCATATCAAGACTTCTTGGAGGGTTCAACACCTGAAACGATCATGGAGAATAATGATGATGATGATGATGATGGTATAACCACATTATGTTATTAACGAGACTGGGGTGACTGCAATCAGGTAGCCTTGTGGTTAGCCTTCGATATGGATCCCGCACCCCCTCACAACAATGGAGATTTAATGGAGGCTTCAGGTTAGAATAGTTCCCTAACAACCTATGCTTGTAACAGGCAACATGATGGATCAGGTGGTCAGACTCGATGATTTTGTTGATTGTGTGTCATCTTACCTCGGCAGTTTGCCTGGTCCAGACATGTAGCAGAAACAATTGAGTGCAGCATAAACAACTAACACACATAACTTGGCTGAAAAGTTGCTTGAAACCCAACTACTTTCTTTACCCAAATCATTGTACATTCAAACTGCATTCTCAGTTCCATTGGGAAAATACTTTTCAAGCCTAAACCATGCTTATTGTCAAATTAAAATTACATATCTCCTTATTCATCATGACAGACATGGGAGTTTCTTGCTAGATATTTCCTTAAACTTTCTTCCCTGTCTTGACTAAATGGGGTTTAAAGTCGCATTCAAGCTAACATATATAGCCACATACATGCTTGTACTAGTCTGTACTTATGGTAGTTTTATAGTGCTAGCTTACTGAGACACATGAATACCCAATGAAGACACAGTATACTAACAGAGTAAAAACAAGTACCATCTCCTAACGTCTGGTATGACACTGCCAGGGATTGACCCACAAACCACTCTCATGGCAGATGCTCTACCCGTTAGACCATAGAAGCTGTCCTTGTCCATGGTGAGAATACTCTTAAAACCTATGCATCCTTATGTTCAAATTACATCTCGCGTTCATTCACTTTTTTCACAGTTCATCACATCATCCTGCAAGCTTCTTTCAATATATTTGAATTATCTCCCCTTGACCACACACATACAAGACTCACCCATTGGCTTGAGAACTATGAATGTAAGAAGATCGGAGAGAGACACGATGCCGACGACATGATCCTCTGCATCAACAACCACCAGCCGATGTACCTGCAACAGCCACCACAAGGTCATGACAAAATACAACATGCAAGCAAACATACAAACATACATGTTATACTACCAATAAGGGCATTGATATGGAAAAAAAATCATACTTAATTCCCCTAAGTGTCATAATGTCGCTTCACTCCAATTGTGTTCCATTGTTTGGATTGTTAGTGAATCAACTCTTCCAACAATAGATCATGTGAGCTGATGTCTCCACTTTTTATGGAAAAATTATTCTACATTTTCTCAGTAAAGACCATGGATAATAAAACAAAAGAGTCTAGGCTCAGTCAAATGGGCAGAACTAGCAACGTATCAAGCACCACTTTTGTCTGCTAACATAACTTGTCTGATGTATATCACTTGAACAGGCAAGCAAGTTCAAAATTATGCCTGTACTTATGGGGTCCTTGAAAATGACAATGTTAAAAACTGAAAATTAAGAGGGTCCCTACATTCCATTACCATAGCAACAAACCTGACTGACCCTGGGACCAACTCTGGTTAATGGTGAGGTGAAATTGGGTTTAACGTAGCGTCCAAGATTATTGCACTTATCTAGCGACGTGCGTGCATGTGTATGTGTGTGTGTGTGTGTGTAGCTGCTTGTACTAGTCCGGACTGATGCCGATTTATAGTGCTAGCTCCCTTAGATACCATGCCGCAGTTTAACATGAATACCCAACTCAGACACAGTATACTGACTCCGAGCCGACCAGTCCTTGTTTTAGCCCCTTAATGCCGAGCGCTAGACAGGGTAACAACAAGTACAATCTTTTAAAGTTTTTTTGTATGACGTGGACCTTCCGCTCTCCGGACGGACGCTCTTTTACAAGACCATGGAGGCGGTCTCACTGGTTAATGAATACACTCACAATGTCTCATTTCACTGGCACTTCCATCGTTTTGGACTTAACAATGCGGACAGACTCCCTTTAACCTTGAAATTAATTCATTTGGGGCACATAATATGTAATTCTTCAAAGCTCATAAGTGCTGTGGTCATCTGGCAAACGTCCTAACCCCACCTGCACAAATTCATCTAAGTAAGTCCATTTAAAGTATGGGATTAAGATAGTCTTAGCGCTAAGATCGTGTTGTTCAAGTATCTGCTCTCACCTCTGCCTTGACGATCGTGTCCATCACCTGACCCAGCGTGTCGGTCTCCATACACTTCGCTACCCCTTCAAACCCCTGGAACAACCAACAATCATATCACAAATCTATCACATTGACAGTTTCTAAGATTTGTCAGTTGACCAACATTTGAATTAAGTTTCTTATGAAGCCAAAATACAGGATTTATGGCAGATATGTAATAGAGGTAGAAGTTTCGTAAGAATTATTTGAACATAGTTTCTTCACTACTGCTCAATCACTGACAACAAATTTAATTTGTGTATGGTTTAATACACCCCTTTGTCAATTTTCAAAGCACCCAGAGTGCCTATTACTGCTAATAAGGTAGCTGGCATATTGCTGGCTTAAAACAACATGCGCTCCCTCACTGAAGGTCAAGGCCATACTTACATCACACCGATGCTGCAGAGCCTGGGCTATGGTCACATCAAGGTTGTTGTAGGTCTTCTCGGCAGCCAGGTTCTGAAGGACAAAATGTTGACAATAAAACACTGCATTTCTCAAACCAATGAGTAAGACAATCCCAGTTAGAGACTCAACACTCAGTCCTTTGTCAGAAACTTACAAAACAATTTAGTCCATTATACATTAATTATTAGATTTCCATCTCCGACAGCCTCACTGCCAAACACCCGCCTCACATCCACCTACAGACTATGTGTGTTGCCTTCTTTCTTGTGTCTACCATCACCTATTACAAATCAATACATCATTATCCTTTCATTGGGTTATCATTTGAAGATTATAGCTTAAGAACTGAAATTAACTTAAAATTGGTTTACACTAGAATAAATGCTGCCCAAAAATGGTGGAAGCTAGCCTCTGAAACTCACAATGACATCAAACTTGGCGTATATGTCGACGACCTTGTGCTGGTCATCCACGACAGGCAAGGCAGATATCCGGTGATCCATGAACATGTTGAGAGCCTTGATCAGCGGTGTGTCCTGGGACGTCTGCAAACACACGGGGACACACAGAGTTTAATATACTGTATTTCGTACATACAGAGTTTTGTTTGTTGTCTAACACCGCATTCAGCAATATTCCAGCTATATGACGGCGGTCTGTAAATAACTGTGTAATTGGGATAGGATGACATGCATCAACCAAGTCAGCGAGCTTGACTACCCGATCCTGTTAGTCGCCTCTTACGACAAGCATGGGTTGCTGAAGACCTATTCCTACCCGGATCTTCAAGGGTTCGGACACGGAGAGACAGACAGGGAATACACTTGTGTCTCGGACACACACAGAGACAGACAGGGATACACTCACAAATCTTTCTGTTATATATTAACAGACAATACATAAAAAAATCAATGCCTAACAATTATTTTTAATTTTTATAAAACAATGAAACAGGTTTTCAAAACCAATTCTGTACCAGGTGTCTACAAAGAGGATTTCTACACAAAAGCATGACACTTCTTTTTCTTTCTGAGTGTAAGAATTCCAATATGACCGAGTTACCTCCCCTTGAATGCAGGCAGAGCCCAGTAATGCACTAATGCACTAATTTCTCCCATCCCTATACTGAGTCAATACAGGGTATGTTACAGGCGGCAGATACCTGCCATCCAATCCACTTACCGTGATGACATTGTCATAGGTTCCTATACCCAGCTCCCGAATGGTCTTCAACATGAAGCAGGGTTTGGGTAGATCTTGAATCTGAAACAATCACAGCGGCAGGCATGATGAAGAGGCCAATAGGTAAGGTGAAATGGGGTTTAACATCACGTTCATGATTATTGCTCTTATATAGTGACATGCGTGCACATGTGCGAGTGCGTGTGAGTGTTGTTTGTACTAGTCCGGACCAGTGCTGACTTTATAGTGCCAGCCCACTGAGATACCATGCCGCAGTTTAACATGAATACCCCACTGAGACACAGCATACTGACCAGTCCTTGTTTTAGCCCCTTAATGCCAAGCGCCAGACAGGTAACAACAAGTACCATCTTGTCTTTTGGCATGACACAGTTGGAGATTGTACTGTCAACCTTCTGCTCTCTGTGCCGACGCTCTATCCACTAGACCACGGTGACTGTCTCTAAGAGGGCAATTGGGGCCTATAAAATCTGCACCCTGTTCCACAAAGCAATGTTTGTGCTATCATAATTCTATGTTATAGTATGTATGAGACTCATGATTGTTACATCACTAAGATCCTTTTGACGAACGAGGCCAAGGTTCCGAAGTTCTATCAGACAAATTCTAACATGGATCTTCATGGGTTCAATCTGTTGATTTTTCTTCCTGGAACCAATTGATTTGAGTGATTTCTCGGACTTAAAGCATATTATGGTTGATACATAATTTCTCAATAATCTGGCAGAATGACCTAGAGTTGTATCTGTTTTACTTATTTACATTTTGTTCTGAATGGTTGGTGAATTCTAGCTGAGACTAAACTGCATCAACAATAGCGTGATGTCATCATGATGACGTTTATCATGGGTATGGTACGGACACAGAATCATTATCAGGACAAATCAAAATCCATGGTTACAGTATTTTTTTTGTAGTAAAATATATTCTAATACAGGTATCTATTTCGCGCTACGTATTGCGATATCAGTGTTCAGCACTGATTGTACATGCAGATCCTGCTTTCTACATTCTAAAGTAAATATTACTCGGGATGGTCAGTCGCCACCATTTCGTAGTCATGGATACAGGGGAGATAACAACGTCTAAGAAAAATCAATCATGCCTTTCCATCATTTGTCAATCAATTATAAAGGGAAACATTATTTGCAAACGAATTTCTGTGTGGAGTTCAGGTTAAACAGTACAAGTCACAACGAAACTTGTGATATTTTCTTTTTCCAATATACCAGAACACAGCAAACATATTGCAACACGTATCGCTTGAGAAGTGTAGTGCAGTATACAGTGGAGTGCAGAACACCATGCAGGTCTACCCATGTGACCATCTCTGCCCATAGAGATTGCAGCACCTTAGACACAGCCACCACACCCTCTCCAGGACCAGCACTTACATATAGATGGAGGAAGCGCAGTATCCTCTTGTGTGTGAGGATGTAGATGGCATTGCCGGTGTTCTTGTCCACCACAGGTAGACGGTGGACATGGTTCTCTATCAGCGTCTTCACGGCCGTGTACAAGCTGGCGTCGGGGTCGATGCACACAAACGGCTTCTGCTTGTCTCGTAGCACCTCTGCAACAATCACAGGCAGGATGCTGTTTAATGTTATCAATACTAATAAGATGCTAGTGCAAACAAAGAAACACACTTTCCCAATTAAAGCTGTGCCAAGAGCAACTAGTATTTGCCTGATGATCCCTAGTCTTGATATAAATACACAGACACCAGTACAATTTACTTTAGGCCAACATCTTTCTATTAAAGGGATAACAGGCTTCTTTTTATGGGGACCTGTAGTTGGATATTGAAAAAAAAAAAGCAGCATCACATTGGGCATGAGAGCATATTTTACAAATTTATGTACACACTCTCTCTCTCTCACAGACATCTTCATTCTTTTAATCCTCTCTCTCTCTCTCTCTCTCAACAGGATCAATATGATTATTGAATTGAGATGTATTCATCTTCATTCTTTTAATCCTCTCTCTCTCTCTCTCTCTCAACAGGATCAATATGATTATTGAATTGAGATGTATTCAGTTACAACAATAACTAGTTGCTATGTCTCTATACACTAATTCTATGTCTCCATACACCACCAATGCTATGTCTCTATACACTAATTCTATGTCTCTATACACTAATTCTATGTCTCCATACACCACCAATGCTATGTCTCCATACACCACCAATGCTATGTCTCCATACACCACCAATGCTATGTCTCCATACACCACCAATGCTATGTCTCTATACACTAATTCTATGTCTCCATACACCACCAATGCTATGTCTCTATACACTAATTCTATGTCTCCATACACCACCAATGCTATGTCTCCATACACCACCAATGCTATGTCTCCATACACTAATGCTATGTCTCTATACACTAATGCTATGTCTCTATACACTAATGCTATGTCTCTATACACTAATGCTATGTCTCTATACACTAATGCTATGTCTCTATACACCACCAATGCTATGTCTCTATACACTAATGCTATGTCTCTATACACTTATGCTATGTCTCTATACACTAATGCTATGTCTCTATACACTAATGCTATGTCTCTATACACTAATGCTATGTCTCCATACACTAATGCTATGTCTCCATACACCACCAATGCTATGTCTCTATACACTAATCCTATGTCTCTATACACTAATGCTATGTCTCCATACACCACCAATGCTATGTCTCTATACACTTATGCTATGTCTCCATACACCACCAATGCTATGTCTCCATTCACCACCAATGCTATGTCTCTATACACTAATGCTATGTCTCTATACACTAATGCTATGTCTCCATACACCACCAATGCTATGTCTCTATACACTAATGCTATGTCTCCATACACCACCAATGCTATGTCTCCATACACTAATGCTATGTCTCTATACACTAATGCTATGTCTCTATACACTAATGCTATGTCTCTATACACTAATGCTATGTCTCTATACACTTATGCTATGTCTCTATACACTAATGCTATGTCTCCATACACTAATGCTATGTCTCTATACACTAATGCTATGTCTCTATACACTTATGCTATGTCTCTATACACTAATGTTTTGTCTCTATACACTTATGCTTTGTCTCTATACAATCCTTCCCTGGAGCTGTTTGTAACATAATGACAGTTGAAAACTCGACCCTGCTCATGTACTGAGTGCCCAACAGTATACATCACACAAACCCTATCTCAGCATTATCTTTTGTATGCCAGCTGCTGCCCTTTCAAAACCACAACAATATGATAATGAGTCTCTCCAAGATGTCCATATAAGGCTACATATATGAGTTTCAAAGTGAGGTGGAATCGGATCCTGTCAGTGACGATACCACATTCCCATACAAAATGTCTGTGTTATCTCTAATCCTTTAAAAAAGCAGACAAAGACAGAGTCGTGATTATTGATCTCTACAACATAACTCATCTACAATGGCTATACACTGTCAGTTTAAAATGACTGCCTCACAGCCTATGACGTCCAGGTAGCGACTGCTGAAGTTTCGGGCTTGCAGCATTCAACATTAACAAACGTATCTGTGTAACTAATGACTTCATAACAAAAGTCTCCCTCACTAAACTTGTGTTTACTCATCACTAAACATGTGTGTTTACTCATCACTAAACATGTGTGTTTACTCATCACTAAACATGTGTTTACTCATCACTAAACATGTGTTTACTCATCACTATACATGTGTTTACTCATCACTATACATGTGTGTTTACTCATCACTAAACGTGTGTTTACTCATCACTAAACATGTGTGTTTACTCATCACTAAACATGTGTGTTTACTCATCACTAAACGTGTGTTTTCTCATCACTAAACATGTGTGTTTACTCATCACTAAACATGTGTGTTTACTCATCACTAAACGTGTGTTTACTCATCACTAAACATGTGTGTTTACTCATCACTATACATGTGTTTACTCAAGGAAAAAACAAACTGCAGATAGTTTTTCCAAAAGAATTATAACGTTGATTCATTTCTGCTAATGTATGTACTTTTGTGTTCCTCTGCATATTTCTACTTCAAAGACCATGAGACTATAAAAAAAAATTAAACAAATCTCTGTTATGTTTGCCTGAATACTCAGTTTACAACCAACCTTTCCATGTCACTATCTTATTCATGCATTCCAAGTTAACAACTTACCTCTCCATGTCTCGATCTTGTGATCTTCCAACTCATCCATCCGCACCTGCAAGATTACAATAACAGACTGTCAACACAATAGTTCCTGGAGTATTAAATCAGTTATACACCTGCACATGGCAAGATAAAATAAACAGGCATGAAATATGATTTGGCCCAGAATACTAATTTGATACATTGTTTGCTTGTTTGTTAATGCTGCACACAGCAACATTCTAGCTGACGGTCTGTGAGTCTGGACCAGACAATCCATTGATTGACATCATGAGCCTCAGGCCATCCAATCAGATGTGATACCATATCATAAGGCCTTCTTGGACTCAGAATATAAATAGCAAGCAATGATATACAGCTATTCTGACAGCATCACAAACACTTATATTTATCAGGCATAAAGGATTATCAACAACAAAGATGCCACCTGTCATTCAGCAGTTCAGGGCAATCACCTGATCTATTACCCACAAAGACAGAGCTGGGGCATGATCATGAAGTAAAAACATGTGAGTTTATGGTTTAGGTTTATTTGTTGTTTTACGCCACACTCAGCAATATTCCACCGATATGATGGCGGTCTGTAGATAATCGAGTCTGGACCAGACAATCTAGTGACTGATATGAGTATCGATCCACGCAATTGGGATCAATGACAAGCTTCAACCAAGTCAGCGAACCTGACTACCCGATCCCGTTATTCGCCCCTTACGACAAGCATAGTTGTCTTTTACGGCAAGCATGGGTTGCTTAAGACCTATTCTACCCCGGATCTTCACAGGTCGTGAGTTTATGTGAGTGAGCTAGGTGTAATGCTGCTTAGAGCATTATTTCACTTTTATTAGGGTGAGTCTGCCTAATGTTTGAGGCAAGTCAAAGTTATGCAGGTCTTCAACCTTTCCCACTTTGAAGATTCCCATGAGCACAAGTATGGCCCTTACAAACCAGAAAACAAAATCAAGGCCAATCTGGGATTAGAACCCACTGTCTAAGGGACATAACTCTGCAAATTGGATCACATGTACATGGTACCTTTTTTACTCGGATTCCCCGAGAGGTATCAAACGTAAGGTTATAACATCTTGCTTTGCTAAAATCGTCTTATACTGTGTTCATTAAGGGTCAACAACAAAGATGGCAGTCCCCAATGGCAGTCGCCCATCAGCCATGTTAGGACAATCACCTGAAGTGAGGTGAGGTTTAATAGCACTAGCCCCTGAGATACCATCCTGCAGTTTAACATGAATACCCCACTCAGACAAAGTATACTGACTCTGAGCCGACCAGTCCTTGTTTGAGCCCCTTAATGCCAAGGGCCAGGCAGGGTAACTAAAAGTACCATTTCTTTAACAGTTTGGTATGACAAGGCCGAGGATCGAACCCAGACCTTCTTCTCTATCACTAGACCAATGAGGTCTAACCTCAAAGACAGAGCCGATCGATGGTACACAATAATGAGTGAAACATGAGTTTTATACTTCATAGGTGTATTTCTAAAGTAAATCCTTCTGTTTGTGAAGGCAGCATACAGCCCTAGACACATTATCAGCAAAGTTCAGGTGTTGTTTAAAGGTTGAAGCTTCATCACGCAACGGCTGGCAGCCACATAGGATGATGGACACCTGTTCCGCTGTTTTCACCTTGGATCAGCAACGTCTACATATATAACCTTCAAGTTGTCACTTGCTACATCACCTGGGGGTCTGTGTCAAACGCTCACATGTTATTTCTTTATTACCCATGGTCGTAATTGTGATTTCATTGTCACTCTTTCTGACAGTAATTGCAACTTACTTTTGATAGGGTTTCTTTTTCAAAATAGGCATCACTAAACAGCTTTTGTTTTAGATGATAGTAACTTAAAAGCATAGTTTAATTCAATGCAAATGAGTGAGTATGGTTTAATGTCACTTTTAGCAATATTACAGCAATATCACAGCAGAGGACACCAGAAATGTTCTTCACCAATTGTTCCCATTGGGCAATCAAAGCCAGGTCTTCGACGTGACAAGCCAACACTTTAATTAATAGATACCCAACCATTCCAATGCAACTGAACAAGATAATCGAAAAAAATGAGGTTAATTGGTTCTCTATTACGGTTTTCAGCCTTGACAAAACAGGTGGTTTGCTATTACTGTTATTCAATCAGGATCAATAAATCACAATAGGAAATACATATAAGCCAGCCTCAGCATGAAACCCTATCTACCTGTTTACGTCTTGCATTACCGCAATCAGTAAATAAAGCACAACAGCAGCAAAACACAATAAACCAACGAAAATGTGTACAATAGCTTCATGTAGGGTGATGTGACCATCTCGAACATGACCCGACCCAGCATACGATACGTGTTCATCCCCTGTGTACTGGATGGTGTATCAGCAGCCGAGGCTGGGGTAACAAACGAACCTCACATCTAATGTTGTTTTCATGGGGACTGTAAATGTATCTATATCCATCTTTAAATGTCAGCACAATGGAAATCTATTGCCATGGTTACAGACAAATTCAAATAGCCGCTAACAGACCTGTGATAGTTGTGCGAGAGCTGATTTACTGTAGTTGGTGAAGCGGATATTCAGGAGAATTAATGATACAGGCCTCAGTAGGGCAGTAAACAGGGACCAGCCAAAGATTAGTTTCCTATCAACTAGTTATTGTTGTAACTGTATACATCTAAATTCAATTGTCATGTTGATCCTGTGGAGAGAGAGAGGATTAAAAGGATGAAGAAGTCTGTGAGTTAGGATTAACACCGCTTTGAACACTTTTTCACATTAACATCACGGCACATCTACCTGACGTGGGAGGAAGGCTCAAAGTGATGCAGGTCTTAGACAGTAACAACAAGAGAAACCAACAAGCCAGAAATGGTGCTAGCAAACGAAGAATCATAATCTGGGCGAACGTGGGATTCAAACCCATGATATTAGGATTCTGGAACAGCTAAGGGACACAATTCATCACAGTAAATTCTGGTGTTTTAGATGACTGGGCTGTCTGTGTCCTCTCCCATTTCATCAAGATATAAATAATTATGATAAATCACTTAATAATTAATAATGCATTACACATATTAAGTAATGCACTTGCACAGCTTTCAATTAAAATTTTCATAGGCTTCTGGTTTTTCAACTCAAAGTAATAAACCAACTCAGCTTGATGATAAAAAATCTCCATACAATGCTACTTACTACAGAACCACAGATTTACCACAAAGAAATACAAATAATCTACATTATTTTATTACTGTCGACAAGTAATATTCTTCGACTTCATTCTAACCCACACATTTGGCCTTAAAACACCAAGTCTTGTTCCGACAAGCGGGATGGTTTTCATCCATCTGAAAGAGGGAACATCTATTTGGATATTGATTCTGCCATTTCATGTGCAGTAAAGGCACTATACTGAAGGAGTGCAAATCAATCCCCTTGCTCAGCACATCATCAAACCTTGGTCCAAAAGTGACTGGACAAAAGGTCAACTGCTTGTACTTTGAAGTTCTGTAATTCGCTTGATGGACCACTCATCTTTTAAGCCCGTCTTCTTACAGTGTGCTGTTAAGAGATTCTGCCTACCGTTGATCTAATTCAATTTGGAGATTACCCAAATTGTACCATGTCTAAAACAACTGATGCTCTCACCAACTGCACACAGAACCAAAAAGCAATATTGTTGTCACAGATGTCAATGCGTTCAGAGTTGCCCCATTTATAGGTTCTTGTCTGGTGGAAATTGTTGGAGGACCATTACCAGCACCTATCAGAAAATACATCAGCTGTTTAGGACGCAAGTGTCATCATATTCAATTTAAAACTTCCACTATTCAGCTTCACTCGTCTGCTCTGAGCGTCAACTCACCATGGGGACATTGGTTAGAATAGGCCCCTAGCACTCAATTACTTGTACAAGATGACTAAAGTGGATTGGGTGGTCAGGCTCTGTAACTTTGCTGATTGCTTGTCATACACGGACAGTGTGACAAGATGCTCATAACATCAATCACTGGCTGGTCTTGACCAGACTCAATTGTTTCAAGGCCTCTGTGAAAAAGTGAGTGAGTGAGTGAGTGAGTGAGTGAGTGAGTGAGTGAGTGAGTGAGTGAGTGAGTGAGTGAGTGAGTGAGTGAGTGAGTATGTTTTACGCCGCTTTTAGCAATATTCCAGCAATATCACGGCGGGGACACCAGAAATAGGCTTCACACATTGTACCCATGTCAGGAATCGAACCCGGGTCTTCGGCGTGACGAGCGAACGCTTTAACCACTAAGCTACCCAACCGCCCCCCTCTGTGAAAAAGCTGGACTATGGAAGGTGTGTTCAAAGAGCCCCCACCTACCATTTTTTTGCTAACATTTTTTCATGATCTCCCCTCCCAAATCTCAACCACCTCCCCTTTAAAAAATGACCAGTCCCTGATCCCAAAGTCCCCTGAAATAAGACTTGAAGGATCACACAAGCTTCCATCTAAGGTGCAAGTCTTCCTCTGACATTTTCCTTCCGACACTAGCAGGAAGTAGCCACAGTGTAACATTTGCTGATTGAAAGTGCAGTGCTTGTAGCCCACGTAATCTCACACCAGATGGGCTTACCTTATCTCTCCGCTTCCCCACAATTCAAGGCAATTACTCCACTGACAATAAAGCAATTGAAAGAGTCAAAAGGAACTTTGCAAAATAATTGTTTCCTGTTTGTTTTTATAACTAGTATCAGTAATGAAACAGGGCAACAGCGAGTCAACAACGCATTAATAAGTACAAATCACTAAAAAACATTTTAGGTTAATTTTCTAGCACTAGTATTGAATGCCTTGCTTATGGGATGCATAAGTAAACCCAGGTACATGTATGTCCATCTCTCCTTGCTTTGAGTGAGTTGGGTAACACTGCTTTTAGCAGTATTCTAGTTATATTGCAGCTTGTCAGCTTGATGTGAAAGTTAAGCCCGAAGTGATGCAGGTCTCAGACGTTTACCACTCTGCACTGAGTGTAATGTTGACAAACCTAGAACATATTTGGGGTGAACGTGATTCAAACCCACGATCAT